TCAATTTTTTTTTTTAGGAATTTGACTCTAGTTCATTTTTTTTGCACGGACTTGAATATTGACAACCTGCAGGTGCCCTTTGTATTATCATTCTTTAATGAGCTTATCATCGTCAGTTGTTTTGCTGTTTCTGAATCTGAAGATTGTAGTTTGAACTCATTGATATGTGTTCTGATTGTATAATTTTTTCTAAATTTTTTTTTTGGTTTTCTAAAATGCAATTGCCTGCGGGCGCCAACACTCCCCTTCAATTTTTTTTTAGGAATTTGACTCTTGTTGAATTTTTTGAACAAACTTGATTATTGATTACTTGCAGGTGCTTTCTGTATAATCATTCTTTAATGAGGTAAACATTGGCAATATTGTTTTTTCTGTTTTGGATTCTGGACATTTTAATGTTTTTTCCTACTGTATAATTTTGTCTAAATTTTTTTTTGGTTTTCTAAAATGCATTTGCCTGCGGGCGCCAACACTCCTCTTCAAATTTTTTTTAAGGAATTTGACTCTAATTTAATTTTTTGAACAAACTTGATTATTGATTACCTGCAGGTGCCCTCTGTATTATCATTCTTTAATGAGGTAAACATTGGCAATATTGTTTTCTCTGTTTTGGATTCTGGACATTTTAGTTTGAACACTTTAATGTGTTTGCCTACTGTACAATTTTGTCTAAATTTTTTTTTTGGTTTTCTAAAATGCAATTGCCTGCGGGCGCCAACACTCCCCTTCAATTTTTTTTTTAGGAATTTGACTAGTAGAATTTTTTGGGCAGACATGTTTATTGATTACCTTCAGGTGCCCTTTGTATTATCATTCTTTAATGAGCTTATCATCGTCAGTTGTTTTGCTGTTTATGAATCTGAAGATTGTAGTTTGAACTCATTGATATGTGTTCTGATTGTATAATTTTTTCTAAATTTTTTTTGTTGGTTTTCTAAAATGAATTTGCCTGCGGGCGCCAACACTCCCCTTCAATTTTTTTTTTTAGGAATTTGACTCTAGTTGATTTTTTGCACGGACTTGAATATTGACAACCTGCAGGTGCCCTTTGTATTATCATTCTTTAATGAGCTTATCATCGTCAGTTGTTTTGCTGTTTCTGAATCTGAAGATTGTAGTTTGAACTCATTGATATGTGTTCTGATTGTATAATTTTTTCTACATTTTTTTTTGGTTTTCTAAAATGCAATTGCCTGCGGGCGCCAACACTCCCCTTCAATTTTTTTTTTTAGGAATTTGACTCTAGTTGATTTTTTTGCACGGACTTGAATATTGACAACCTGCAGGTGCCCTCTGCATTATCATTCTGAAATGAGCTAATCATTGGCAATATTGTTTTTTCTGTTTAAGATTCTGGACATTTTATTTTGAACTCTTTAATGTGTTCTCCTACTGTATAATTTTTTCTAAATTTTTTTTTGCTTTTCTAAAATGCATTTGCCTGCGGGCGCCAACAGTCCCCTTCAATTTTTTTTTTAGGAATTTGGCTAGTAGAATTTTTTGTCCAGACATGTTTATTGATTACCTTCAGGTACCCTTTGTATTATCATTCTATAATGAGCTTATCATCGTCAGTTAGTTACATTTTTCGTGACATTAAATATTATCTTAATTCTTAAAAGTAAATTTAAGCCCCAAAAGAATATGAAAACAAATTTACTTTTAACATCGATTCTTTCGGCGGAATCCGTGACGTGTGTTCACTGCGAGGCTGACGATTAAAATCTCCATAATATACAGAACTTAAAATATTGTGATTTATGAAAAATAAAATTATACGGAACGCAGTAAGTTTTTTGCTCATATCTGCTTTGCTTATTGAAATTTTGGAATTTTTAATGACGACTGTGTCCTCTGCAATGAATATGAGATTTGCCATGGAATATAAATGATAGATATTATACTAGGTAGGTACGTGAATATGATGAATCCACGGATATCATATAGGTAACGCAACTTTTTATGTCAAAGAGTTCCGTGTTAAGGAACAATATTTGTTCGTTAAAATTTTATATTATGACAAAAATCAAAATAGTTTATAATTTTGAATTTCAATTATAATAATATTAAATATGATATAAATATTATTTTAATTATTATTTTCGTTTCTTAATTTAATTATTTATTAATATGGTGAATATATATCAGAAGTACAAGCATATTTTTATAAAAGCATAATATTGTATTTTAAAAATCATTAAATGAAAATATGATTCCTGGATTTTAGAGTTAACATGAAGATATACAGTACCTAAGTACATTAAATTTACATAACAACTAGATTTGTAAAATTCCAAGTCTAACATTTTCTACGAATACTCCTGATCACAAAATTATTAATTATTATTTAATATTATGTTAATTTAATTGTATCGGGTACCTATAATTTATATTTTAGATTCTGAGCGGAGCGTTGAATATTTTGATTTTACTATGATGTGTATTTAATTTTTACTTTTTTTGTTATTATTTTTTTTTGTGTTTGATGCGTACACGATAAGTAGGTAGTCAAAATAAACTTTCGTCTGCCATGCTCATGCATAATATATTATAGGTACTCTGTATGTAATCAATGACCATAGTTTTATTTTTAAGTTTCTTTGTATTTAGTAAATAATAATATAGGAAATTGTATTTTTGAACATTAATTTTTTGTTTGTATCAAATACTTTCACCATAATAGGGAACTAAAATTGTCATTTATCGTTAAAACAACAAATTTTGTGAAAAATTCAATTTTGGTAGGTAAGTGTTTTGTGTAGGCATAATTAATGTTACATTAAAATTTAAAAAATTCAAAAAAATACATTAATTGGATTATTAATTAGAACATAGGTACTACAGTTTCCAGCTTCTACTACAACATTACGTTATATTATGTTTTTAATTATAATAATGCCTAAAAATAAAACGGAAATCCCAAAATAATATGAAAACAAACTTACGCTGAAACATCGACTCTTCCGGTGAAACCTAACTAGAGTGAATCAACAATGCAAACGTCCAGTACGTGACGCCACCGAAGAAACAGCTATCTTCATCTCGTTCCGAACTGTAACTTGAAATTATCGAAATATTTTATGAAAATTACCTGAACATAACGAAATGTGCGAATTCGTATTAAAACTTACATAATAATATATACGGCTTAACGAACTATCTGTCCTTATTGATGGCTTATTATTTTTTTTTTCACTAAAATTATTAGAATTTTTTTTCGTCGCAAACGAATGTCGACAATTGGCGATTGCCATAGATGATATAAAATATATTTTTTAATATGATAAATCCATAGAACTTCTACACTCAGCACGTAAACGGTCTAAATAAAAATTAAATAAAAATATAAACAAAAATTAAACATATTATCATCGTAAAATCAATACATTCATAAAATGGTGGATGTAATCCCGACGAGCAATGAAGAGGAAGAGAGGACCAGACAGGTGCCAGAAAGCGAAAAAATGCATGTGTCTTTTGATTTTCATTTTAGTTTTATTATAACACTGTATTGAGTCCCTCGATACTATATAAGATTCATTTAAATAATACTAGGTAATAATATTAACTTAGTTAACTATAAGTTAATTAACTTCCAAAGTGTAATTAATAATTTTAAAAAATATGTAAAATACATTTTTCAAGTTAAATTATTAACATTCTCAAATGGGTGGATGGGTAGTTTTAATGTACTTCCCTGTGGTTCATTAAGTTTATGGCATGTAGGTACCTATTAATTGTTAGTAGCAACTAGCAGCGTCTACCAACAGTGACACTTAAATTTTCCATTGTTGGTATAATAATAATAGTGCATATTTCGTTATATAATTGAAGATTGAACACTTTCCTTTTCACTAACATTTTCAGTTTCTATAAGCAATAAAACATTTCTACTTCATCTATCCTAAATAAAAATAAATAAGATGCATTTTAGATTTAAAAAAAAAAATTTTAAGCATCCCAACAAAATAGTTAATAAAATATTAAATATTTAAGTATTTATTAAATTTTAATATACACTTAAATACTTCTATACTCGATGTCGACTATATATACTCGTATAATCGTATTATATTTTGTAATTATTATCACGTTGTAGTTTTGTACAGAAAATAACGATTGTGAACGAATCTTTTGCTTCCAGTTGCGTAATAACAATAGCTAGGAGCGGGTACATATACTCTGTCTCAAACTATAAAAAAAATAGGATAAACTAGGGCAAAACCGGCTTAACTTGGTGCCTTCTATTTTGGAACAGGGTATATGTATAATATGACCAAACTAGATAATAATATTTATTAAGTATATTTAAGTTATAAATATTTTAATGAATAAAGATATTATATCTGAACAATAAATCGAGTGTTGTGTGGTGGTGTGCAATGTCACATTATATTGTAATAATATAATATAATATTATGTAATAGCCAACAGGACGTGAAAAGTTCCACAATTTTTTATTTCGGGTTTTTTCTTTCTCTTATAGTTATCGTCTAAAACATTCGCGGAGCTTTTGCGTTTTGCCCGTCTACCCATAGCCCAAGGGCAGATGCTTGTTTTAGGGGGCACATAAACAGTCTCAGACAACACTGGACCCTCAGTTTATAATTTCGACTGGTGATAAATGATATACGCATTTAGCGACATCGATATGGCCATATTATGGACTTGTTTTTAAATTCACTGAGAGTGGTTTTCAATAATTTAAGAAAAGGAAATATGGGTTCTATTTGTATGCACAAATATTATAGTGTCGCTTCAGTACATTTTAGCTTCATTGGCTTATGAACTAATGTTTTACTCATTCGGTAAATTATATTTGTACATTAATACTACATATTAATTATTATATAATATTATATAGTTTACAATTTGATGACTGTCTAAGGTAGAATACAATAACAGATGTACTTCGTATAATCGTATGTATTTACTATATTTTTATATACCTTTAGGTATACCTACACAAACACAACTACTTGGTTACTACATAATTAAATTCATAAAAACTTTAATCCGCTTTTTTCTAAACTCTTATTTTCCCATTCGTCAAAAATTTTCACAAACGCGGGTGTCATATTTGTTTTACCCTCGCCGACATTACCACTTCTTATAATATTTCCTTTGCCTCTTGATCCATTAAATAATCTTAAGCTTATACCAATAAATGGTTCGCCACTGACAGCACTATTTTTCTTCATGCTTTTAAAACTTAAGTGGTCTTCCAAAGCCAACAGTTGATCGTCATTCATATGTTTGCCTAAAAATTGAGCGGTTTGTCGAAGTACCAAATGTAGGTCCTATGCAAATAAAATAAAAATGTTATTAAAAAGGGGTATATATGTATTTACTATTTATATCTATATATTAGGCATTAACTGATCATAATAACACAATAGCACGCATTGATCGATTACCTGTTTCATGTCTTCATACTTCAAGAATAGTACTTGTGGATCATCTCTTCGGTTCCAGAAGCCAAGAATATGGTCAAAAAACGGACTGTAACATACTGCATTATAAAAGTTTTTAAAGTGTATGTGACTTTAATTTTATTTTATACTACAAATGTAGGTACTTACAGGAATTGGAGATAAACAGTTCACAAAATGCTTCAAAATTGTCTTCATATGAACCAAGGAGGGTTGCAAAGTGGAAAAATGAAAGGCAAGTGTCTTTTGGGTTTCTGGCCATGTATATGATCTGAAAGTTTATATTATAATATTTTAATGTAATGTAAGTCGAAAATTGAATAATTTTTAGTGTTCTAAAAAGTTCCATCGGAAAACAAATAAAAACACACATCTTTGTAAACTTGTAAAACCAATGAATTCGTCGCAGAATCGCTTTGATTAGAATCTAAAATAATAATAATTTGATACATAAATATACCAGATGCCTATTATTACCGGGGCTTAGTAAGTTCCCACCTTAAACACAGCAGGTAAGCAGGTACATAATTTAATATTTAATATTTATAATATTATAGGATGCTACATTTCAGTAGTGTTATGACTAAGTTTGTTTAAATTTTTAAATTTTTTTTAAATTTTAGGTTGAAGTTAGTTCAATTGAAAAAGTTTTAATATTATTTTGTTATTCTATACAAAATGTTACAACTGTATATTGTTATATTTAACATAACCAGATAGTAATAGATAGTAATACCAGATAGGTACATTAAGATTTGGTGAATTTGGTACATTATGGATAAACTTTTTATAATTTTACTTCAAATCAAACCATATTTACTAAAATAATATTATGCTTAAAAGGAATAAATCAAAAAATATGATTAAATTATAAATTTATAGAGAATAAGCCATTATAGTAGAAAGGTATAACTGTATAAGTCAGTATCAGGATGTGTAGAAAGTAATAAGTCATGAGTAAAAAGGTATAAGTCAGTATCATGATGTGTAAAAAGTAATAAGTCACTTAAGTACTGTAATGAATTACATTTTCAAAATATCATGTTACACAATGGTAAAGTAAATCATTAGGCAACAATTTCGAAGAATAAAAATTAAAAAAAAAAATTATTGAAGAAATGAGAAGTTTTTTATGTTTCCTGAAAACTATCGTTTTTTGACTTATTCCCTTTTACCCGCGCGCCGTCCATATGTAAGTTCTCTCGCGGAAAAAAATACACCCGTACGTAAGTTACCACACGAAAATGTATTCAGTCTTAGGACTGACAACTTAAACGTAGTTGGTCCAAATATATAATGAAAAAGGTGGGTAAGTGGATGTCGCTCTGCTGTACTGTAGGTTACAAGTGGGTCACTGTATAATGGATGGAATTAAATTTGAATTCAATGATACAATATCATTGTATAAGAAAAACGATTCTGAGCGAAGACGGTATGTCAGTCTAGGTTTAAGACAAATTATATACATATCTATGGACTATGGTATTAAAAAAAAAATTGACCTATAATAAATTCCAAATTATTCATATCACATTATCACAATATCCATTAGGTATTTATAACACGTTATACATCAACATCAATAACAAATCCTGATACTATCATTGATATATAATAGTAAACTTTAGAAGTTTCAAGTAGGTACCCATGAATAATATTATATAATCACAACAAAATAACTAGGTTTTTTAATGTGTAATTTCGTCCAAATTTGAACATAAAATGACTATAAAAATAAACTGTGATTGTATATTTTTTAGATTTTTTGGTAAAAGAATTAACTACTTACGTGGAATCTTGTTTTAAATTTTCAATCCTTAGCTATACAAACTGATTATTTTATAATTTATTAATTACGATGATTAATAATTTTCGAGATTTTGAAAAATTCTGTTAAAATTCGATGTTTAAATGCTTATAAAAAAAAACTGTGCCTATGTATTTTTAATATTTTTCAACTGATATTGTAACAATATATCAGGAGCCTTGTATTAAATTTTTACACTTTTTGGCCCAACAGATAAAACTTTATTCATATTCATAGAAAAAAAAACTAAAAAAATTTAAAAATGAAAATATCCGTAAACAGCTCAAAAAGAGTCAAAATATTTTCAAAATTGTATGGTGTATAGGAAATGCTTATACAAACATTCAGTGAAATTTTCATGTATCTATAGTCATTCGTTTATGAATAACAATAAAATAAGGAAATCGCTACATGAGAAATCGAGTGAACATCCAATGTTGTAAAAATTTGAAATTCAAACGCTCATAAAAATTTAATTTGACTGTCCGGTAGAGATTTTTTTATTGATAAAGGTAGATAATCTTATAAGGAATCTTGTGTTTCATTTTCAAATCTTAGATTTAAAAAGAAAAATTTTTACGAATTCTTAACTCAAATAATTTGCTAATTTTCGTGATTTTTCCATATTTTGTCAATTTTTGAACTTTAAATGCTTATAAAAAAAAATTGTGACTAAGGATTTTTAATATTTTTCATCTGCCTTTGAAACAACATATTAGGAGCCTTCTATTAAATTTTCAAGCTTTCGCAACCAATAAATAAAATTTTATTGATATTTTTAGAAAAAAAACTAAAAAAAATGGAAAATGAAAATGTCCCTAAACAGTTCAAAATAAATCAAAATATTTTGAAAATGTTATCGTGTATAGAAAATGCAAATATTAACAACCAGTGAAAATTTCATGTATATACGTTCATTTGTTTTAGAGTTACACCAATAACCAAAATCGATTTTTTGGAAAACCAATTTTGCGTAAAAATTCCCTTTTCCTAATTTTTATGTTGTTTTTCACGGCGCTTGTGAAAACTACTTGAAATGTTTAAATTTTGACCTCCCCAAAGTACCAACAAGATTCACTTCCTATCGAAAAGATACTGAATAGAAAATCGAAGCATTATTCGCTACTATCGTGTAGACAGACACAAAAAAAAAAACAATCATGTAAAATCTAACTTCAGAATCTAAAAATAAATAAACTATTGTAGGTATGGTCCACAACATATTTGTACTTTTGCAAGCATTTGCTACGCTGTAGTAAGACTGTAACAGAACTAGCAGCTAGCATTGCCTGATACTAGGGGGAAACTATTCAATACAAAAGATCAGCTCAGAACTCTAAAATAATTACACAGTATGACTATGTGAAGTGTTTGAGCTTTCGCAATCAGCCAAATAAATATTTTTTTTTCTATTACTATTATAGTAATTTTATGTTATACCTATATACAAATAATATGTGTACCATACTTACACATTATATTATTAATTTGTATTATATATTTAGACTAAATTAAATTAGAAAATTGATTGGACTTTTTTTACGCAACACAAAAACAAACAAATTTTAACCACACCAACTACGTCTAAGTTGTCAGTCCTAAGTTTAAATAAAGTGGGAAGGAAGATTGTACTCGGTATAATTTTTTTTCATGTGGAAACTTATACGTATGCATACCCAGGTGTGATTTTTACTTGCTATATCTCGTGTGGGAACTTACGTTCGCCCTTATTACCTACCAATCATGAACTAAGATACTTACTATCTTAATTCATGCAACCTATGCATGTAATATTGTAATATTATATAATATCAGTGCATTATTAGAAATTTGAATGCAACAGTTAAAACTATCAACATAATAGTATTATATAATATAATGTATTAAATAGGTACTATGCAAATGGGTCATACTTTAGCCTTGGTAGATTTTTCCCTAAGTTTTTTTGGCAGAAGTTGGTAAGGTAGATGAGTCTTGATATATCTTGGAGATTTCAATCCATTTATATACCCTATGGAATCAAATATATACTTCGGTATTTCTATATCTGGGTTATCTTGCATAGCTTTTTCAAAGTCTTGATATGAATACATCCTATAATCAAATCAACAAGATTAGTATAGATAAAATATAATAACATTAGGTATACGTCCTTATATATTATATTCTGTCCACGCTGCTATTGCTATAACCCTGTATTATTTAACTACAGAATATTTTACATAATACTATATTATATAAACAAAGAGAATAAAATATATATTACTTATATTATTAATATTATAGTTAGGTATGTGAGAAATGTATATTACAAATTTTAAATATTTAATTTATAAGAACTATTTAATGTATATATATTTCAAATTGTGAACTCATGCCCCCCCCCCCCACACGAACATGTTCAGTGAGCTCCATTATCTTCTTGAAGAATAAATAAATAAAAAAAAAGCGCAACTATATAGGCCGCGGTGACCAAAATAAATCACCGTCCGCATGACCAGCATACGCTACCTTTAAACATCACTCATGCGCTATCATCTGGATGCATAGAGTTGCGTCTACTCACTGGATAGAGTATCTGAGTATATACGGATAAAGGATACGGATACACTTTATAGTACTGTCACGCGTCTGTCACTCGTCTAGTGCAAAAATAACCTAGATGACGTCAATCTCGCCTAACCAAGTTGCTAACCACATATAGTAAATGTATCAAGAATGCCTTTCGAACAAAAATCACACAACACAGATAAGGAAACGCTTTAGAGACCCTAAAAAAGAATGCACCCAAACTCATGAACTTTCTGCCCCTTATTCATAAGCGGAAATCGCCACAGCTCTAAGGGATTTAAAACCCGAAAAGGCTGCAGGGCCAGATGGAATGCACCCCGATGAATTTATGTTAAACTGTTGCCCTAACACCAAAAGATCGCTATCTAAATTTTACACCGATATAAATAGAATTAGGAATAAAAATGAGTTTGTTGAACCCTTGAATACTTTGACAATGGGATGACACAAAAAGTTGCAACAAATTACCACGACATTGAGGCAGGCTTCCGAAATTGCCTAAAAACCGCAGCAGTACTTATCGACCTAACAGCTTCTAACGACACCGTTTAGAGACACAGCCTTTTGTAGAAACTCCTCCGCATAGGCACAATTTCAACTTTTGACTTGGGGGGGGGGCTGAATATCTTAAAGGCAAGCAGACCATTGCAATACAGCATATTAAAATTGTATGTCCTAATTTTTTTTTTTTTTGGGGGGGGGCTATGCCTAAGTTTGGGGGACTTAGCACCCCCTCCCCTAATTTGCGCCTATGCTCCTCCGTACTATTCGTTGTCGGAATACCGTCCAACTAATAATACTGCACATCCGTGTGGTATAATAGCGCTCATGTGACAAAAGTAGACTCATAATGAAGTGATAAAAAGTTTAGAACTACGGGCTTAGTTATAATGTATGTTATATATTTATATAATTATAATTACTCTAAAAGTGGAACTCTTTCAAGTAAATTTTGTTTGGCACCTTCGAAGTCCAAATCGTTTGCTACACACCACGTCATCTCCTTGCACCATGTAGTTCCTGGAATAATATAATATACTATATATATCAGTTATGGCCAAACTTTTTTTGATTTTGATCTACTAACTACTAAGGGTATATTTTTTCTTTTGGGATCGGATAATGTGAATATTATATTTTATATTAATAATAAACATACTTATATAAATAATAAAATAAATGTGTATAAAGTTATCTAAAATTAGCCTTTCACATTAAATTTCTAAATAATTTTAAAATTTATTTTTTTTATTAGGTACTTATACTTATAATTTGTAATTTTAATAACTATACGCCTATACATATCCAAATATTGCAGGGAAGATTATGCCCGTGTCAATTATTTGTGTTGTTCCGGTTGCTAGAACAAAATATTCCAAAAACATGTTGTACGTAGTACACGTTGAAGGTAACTTTCTTCAAAAATTTGATTCAAGGGAGAGTGAGAGTATATGAACTGTCAGCTCTCGGGTGCCTCCTGCAGTCACTTAAGCTCTAAGCTACTGAACAAAATTAATTTGTTTCTTTAAATATTCTTTAGACATTTTAATCTTCAAATCGTCAAATTATATTAATTGTTCAATTCTGAAAGAGTCATGGCGCGAGCTAAGTAAAGAAAATATAGCGGCGGCACGACAGTGTAAATATCTTGAAGCAGGTGTTGCCCATTTAAACAGTGTAAATGTTGATGTTTTTTTTTAACCGGACCTAACTAATTATCTATTGAATCAATTAATTTCTAATAAAATGGAAAAAATCAGAAAATTTGTGCAGATGATCCTTTGGCAAAAATAATCGAAATCATACTGTTAAAAATTAAGTTATTAAAGGAAACGTGCAAAAATTTTAATGAGAAATTATAATTAAATCTGGGATCACGACGGCCGCATCTCGCGTTTTCGTGCTGCCCGGTTTCCCCACTTCATTTCGTGTACTAAACGCATTTCATTATTGCTATTTCAAGACTTCACATATTTATTATTTGTTTCATTTCGTTATCGACTATAGGTACCTTAAATTTGTTATATTTTCATTTAATGTAATTTGTTGAATTGTAATTATTACAAGTACCTATTAGTGTATTAGTGTGTTATTACTGTTATTAATAACTTCTTCTAGATTAACATATAAAATGCCATTTTTATATCAAACTGTTTTAGCTTATAATTTCCTGCTGCTGCGACGGCTAAAATTTGTTCTGATTGATTCATACCGTACTACTGGCGAAAATATTTTCGTATAATCAATAAGTACCATATTTTTATCTTGATCGTTAACGAATTGTTTATAACATTTGCTCCCACAGGCTTTGATACCAAAGTCAAAGCGTTGTTTTTATGTAAATTTTTATGAGTCTATTTCCTCAATCATGGCCTATTTCCATTTATCTGCTTGCATAAAATTAATTATCTCATTATAAATAATTGGTTCAGCTGTAAACGCTATAGCTGCATAAACTGCATAGCTAATTGCTTTTTTATTTGTTCTATATTTCTTAGATTATACCTATATTTATATGAGCTTACCAACTCATCTTAATCGTCTAAGGTCAGTTTCATGGTAATTTCACTTAGATTGTTTATAATTTTTTCACTCGTTTACATTTATCGAAATGTTATTATTAGTTAGGTATTTGAATTAAAGTTATATAGAGAAGAAAGGATCAGGAATTGGAGTTAATAAGTAGCATAGGAACGGGACACGAGTGTTGAGGTTTCATATAATGCATAATAACAATAGAAAGATATAGGTGAACCGATATAACCATCCAACGTTTCATTAAGAAACGGAATGCCAGTATCGTTAAACTTGAATAAATTGTCAAAATTCCATTATTCAGTTATACGCTTGATAAATGATAAGTGATAATTCTTTATTGATAATGGTGAAAATCTGTTAATATTTTCTTGTTATGAAAATCTAAAATACCTACAAATAAATTACACATTTATATGTTCAAATAAATTAATTCTTAGAACCCCTAAATACAATTTAATATCTATGTAAAACAATAAATTAAAAACGGTATTATTAAATTTTAGGTACCTACTACCTACATAGGTACCTATTTATTATATAAAGTTGTTATATAATACGTATTTAAATATATTTTTTTTATTTACGAAAACACGAAATATATGTATCTGTATTCATTTTACATTAAATTGATAAATACGTACGTAAATGTTCTAAAATGTTCAAATATGCATTTAATTAACTAAAATTAAATATTAAAGTAAAAACTGATACAAAAGTCCTAAAAATGCAATTATTCACTAATATCATAACTCATAAGAAAATGCAAAACAATGGAAAAAAACGTAGCTAAGTAGATGTCGCTCTGCTGTACAGTAGATTTCAAGTGGGTCTCTGTATAATGGATGGCTATGGCTATATTAATAAAATAGAGGGAATTATGCCTAAATGGGGAAGAGAGAAAGACTGTTTTTTATCATATACCTATTAACTAGTATGGATTTATTAATTAGTTAATATCTCTATGGTTTTTATCATTGCCTCTTATTCTAGAAGAGAAATAATAATAATAATTATAATAATAAATTTATTAAATAAATAAAAAAATAAATAATAAGCAATAATTATATTAAATAAATTTTATATAACGATTTGTGATAAGACCTCTATAACCTCAAAATTTTTTCAATTTTGTTCCCGTATGATAAGCACATAAATGACCTATCCCAAGGTGTATCAATACATCTTGGCCTATCCCAAGATTTTTAAAGTATAATCTAAAAATAGAAATTAGACTATAATCCACGGACCTAATGTTAAGCTAAGGTTAAACCACAGATATAAAGTTAATTTAGCTGGTAAAATCAGTGGATTAAACGTAATCGAAGTGGAATCGACTATTGTAATACTAAGGGCTCTACAATAATCCTACTGCCCTAGTAATACGAGCCATTAGTCCGTGCTATAATCTTAAGACCTTCGGCTTATCCATAGACCTATTAACTAATATTACCTAATTAATAGTTAATGAATGAAATTAATAATTAATGCCATATTCTTGTGTCTGTGTACACGATTAGTAGTCGAAATAATGCTTCGATTTTCAACTTCAGTATCTTGTTCAACGGGAAAGTGAATATTGTTGGTGCATTGGAGGTCAAAATTAAAAATTTCCAATAGTTTTCAAAAGCGCTGGGAAAAACAACATACAAATTAAGGAAAAACGGGAATTTTTACCCAAATTCGGTTTTCCACAAAATCGATTTTGGTTTTTTAAAACGGATGAACGTATGACATTTTCACTGTTAATTTATATTTGCATTTTCTTTACATGAAAACATTTTAAAATATTTTGACTTGTTTTGAGGTTTATACGCATTTACGTATATACTCAGTTTCCAACTTTTTTAGATTTTTTTTCTATTAATTTTAATAAAACTTGTGTAAAGAAGCTTGCAAATTTAATACAATAAAGCTCCTACTATATAGTTACAATAAGATTTAAAAAATATAAAAAACCCTCAGTCACATTTTTTTTTATAAGTATTTAAAGTTCGAATTTTGTCAAAATTTAATAATTATTTTGTAGTTAAAAATGTATAAAATGTTCACTTTTATAGCTAAGGATTGAAAATTTAAAACAAGGTTCCACGTAAATAGTTAAATATATAAATTACTTTATTCACAATAATATCATCAAATATACTAATATCATTGGCTGACTGACCGTTTTCGCTCAGAATTGTTTTTCTTATACAATGATATTATATCATTAAATTCAAATTTAACACCATCCATTACAGTGACCCACTTGTAAACTTCTGTACAGCAGAGAGACAACCAACTGCCCATCATTTTTTAAATGTTAGTATTCAAAGTCTAAGTTTGACATTTAGTTCAAACTATGTTCAGTGGTGGATCCAGGGGAGGGCAAACGGGGCATTTGCCCTATCCCTCAATCGCCGTAGTTTTCCTTTGTTTTACACTGTGTTTAGCCAATTTTGGAACTTTTTGTCTCGTTGCCCCCCCATGCTCCTCCCAAAATTAAGCCCTGGATCCGCCACTGACTATGTTGTATTTTTGTTTGAAACGTGTAACAATCCTATCACGAACTAAATCAAGATTACTTATAAAAAAAAAAAGGGCCTATGTAATTTTAATATTTTCAACTACTACTGTAACAATATATAAGGACCCTTGTATTATATTTTCAAGCTTTTTTACTCAACAAAATTTTATTGACAACTATAGGAAAAAAACTAAAAGAATTGAAAACTGACAATGTTCGTAAACAGCTCAAAACGATTCAAAATATTTTGAAAATTTAATCATGTATAGGAGTTGATAAAATAAACATTCAGTGAAATTCTCATCAATCAGTCTACAGTTATTCGTTTTGAATTACAATAGAATAACAATATCACTACATGAGAAATCGAGTAAATATCCAATCAAATATTAACTTCAAACGCTCATAAAAATTTATTTTGATTTCCTTGTATACATTTTTTTTGTTGATAAAGTTAGACAAATTTATGAGGAATCTTGTATTAAATTTAAAATCTTAGATTTAAAAATAAAAATTTTATGAATTTCTAATTCAAAATAATTTGCACATTTTCGTGATTTTTACTTGTTTTGTCAGCATTTGAACTTTAAATGCTTATAAAAAGAATTTGACTGGATTTTTAATATTTTTTAAAAAAACCTAAATTTGAAATTGCAAAAATGCAAAAATGCTAATATAAACACCCATTGAAAATTTCATTTATATACTGTAATTTTTTTTAGAGTTCCACCAAAAACTAAAATCGGATTTTGTTGAAAACCGATTTTGCGTGAAAATTCCCGTTTTTCCTTAATTTTTTTTTTGTTTTACCTTGAAAAATACTCTGAATTTCAAATTTTGACTTTCCCAATGCACCAACTAGATTCACTTTCCCATCGAACAAGATACTGAAGTTGAAAATCAAAGCATTATTTCGACTAATAATCGCGCTTACACAGACACAAAAATATGGCATTAATTATTAATTTCAATAAGCACTTTTACAGTCCAAAAAGCTGATGACAGACACAAAAAATACACATCATTGTAAAATCAATACATTCATCGCTCAGCTTAGAATCTAAAAATGAGATTTGCATTAGTAAACTAAAATATAAAGATTTATCAGTTTATCACCAATTTTTTTATAATGAGTATTATTTGAGCTTCCCATGAATCATGATATAACTTTTTGGATCATATAGGTGGTTATAACTTATAGCCTTATAGGGTGTATATGAGTGTGAGATTAAAATGTTAGTGTAATGAGAAGTCCACCTTAGGCAGTAAAAAAACACGAATTAAATTCAAGATCATGTGTTCGAAGTATTTAAAATTACTTTATCGTTGAAATGTATTAATTAATGTATAATAATGTTTATAGTATAATATAATTATAAATAATTGAAACCTGTTTTCGGGAAGCCACAGACCCAAATGTCATCGTCTCTGACGTCAAAATCTTCTATCAATTGCCCAAACTTCTCGTAGAAGTTGGGTAACACAACATCATTAGATTTCATGAGCTCTGTTTGATCCTTTTTCCGAAAATATGACATATCGTTGTCCATGTTCTAGTACTTTATGTTAGCTTTTTTTTATATAAAGCTTGTTATTTTCGGATTTTCCTCGGAAAATTGTTCAATAGCAAGACGTATATAGCAACTTTAGAACATACGATAATACTATAAGATACTCAAAGTCGTTGGAACACGACTAAATAAATAGTCATGTAAATAGGTATGATTACAAGACAGCAGTTTTCGTCCGGTTTGCAGCGCTTCCCCCACTATTCTACACATAAAAGCATTTTTCATTTTTCTCCGATTCTGATTGGTCTCCAATGTCGGCTATGTCAATAGAATATTACAGAAGAGGAGAACTACAAAACAAATTGGATATGCGGGGAAAATTTTAAACATTTAGGTATACCATTAGGTAGGTAACTATAATTTTGCAAAATCAAATAAAATTACAAATCTTAAAAATCTACAATACTAAATACTTGGTACTGTGCCTATACCTACTTAATTCATTACAGCCATAAAATATGAATAATAAATAGAATAAAATTAATAATATGAAAAAAATATAGTTTTAATAAGTACAATATTAGGACAAGTAATAATATATAAATTATATTGTTGATACATATTCATCAATTAGAGTTTCACCAGTTACCACTATTATATTTATTAGGTAATTAAACTTTGTAACTATTTGCACGTTTTTTTTGGTTTAGAATATTTTTATATTTAAAGAGTTGATTAGTTATTCTATTTAATTGTATATGTTTTTTTATTTGAATTTTTTTTAACTTTTCTATAAATATAAAAATATTTGGAAGGGTTGTACGATCGGTACTAGCAGACTGGATATAGTATATATAATAACTATCAATTGTCGTATTACTGCAATAGTAATTTGCCCCGTATTAGTATTTTGGACGAAAATAATTACTGTGATATTATAGATAAAAATTCGGTCGCAGTTTACATTATATCTTTTTGACATAGATACAAATTCGGGTATTAACCACAGTTTATAAAAAAATGTGGTTTGGTTGCAGTTTACATACAAACAGCATTATCTTGGACGCTCTTAATGGGGATCCAGGCATACGTAAACTGCGTTATTTATGTCCAAGATCGCATAAGCACAACTAGGGGGAAGGATGGGGGCTTAGCCCCCCCAAACTTGTAATAGACCCACGTGAAATAAATTATTCATTTGTTTCCTAAAATATTAATAAATCTTTAAAAATTAAATTGTATTTCTTACATTTTTTTTTTTGGAAAAAATGTAATTATCTAATTTTAATTTAAACTTTACAGTTATTTTAGATGGCTGTATGCCTGTATTTGTATTAAGAAAACGATTCATGTCGGTATATTGGTAAGATTATAATTTTCTTCTGCTCAGCCAAATTAATATATCAGTTCCTACATTTAATTCTAGAAGCCGGCCGACCTTTCACATTTCTAGTCACAAAACACTTTACGGTTTTTTCCCCTATTTATTTTTTGTTTTTTCCCTTATTAGACATTAGTCTCCTGTAATAACCTACAAAACAAATTTGATATTTTTCATTACTCTCAAAAAGCGTTGCAAAATAATATATTTTCTTTCTAAGCATCTTTTCTGTTTAATATATTGTATACCTACAACCAACTTATAAAACCAGTGTGTTAACAAATTAAGTTAATATTGTATAGTTAATATTGTAATGTTATAATGTTTTATCTATGTATGTTTTTGTTCAAACTAGCTTAAGTATTTAATTATTCTGTACTGATTGCCTTCGGGCGTGTATTTCAAATAAAAAATAAATAAATAAATAAAAAAATATCAGGAGCCTTGCAATAAATTTTCATGCTTTTTTACCAAACAAATAAAACTTTATTGATATTCTTAGAAAAAAAAATAATTGAAATATGAAATTGTCCGTAAACAGCTCAAAACAAGTCTAAATATTTTGAAAATGTTATTAAGTGTAGGAATTGATAAAATAAACATTCAGTCAAAATTGTATGTATCTACAGTTATTCGTTTTTGAATCAAAACAAAATAACAAAATCGCTACATGAGAAATTGACTATTCAGTGTCAATATCCAATGTTGTAAAAATTTGAATTTCAAACTCTAATAAATATTTTATTTGACCTTCTTATAGACATTTTTTTTTTTTTGATAAATTTAGATAATTAGTTTTAATTGAATTAATTATTACTAAAAAGTAATCATATGCACGTACGAATTATATTACTTTAGTTATTAACACGTAAACAACTATTATGCCACTGAGAGATCACGTTGCAGAGACCATTAAGTTACAAAGTCGACTATATTTTATATTCTGAGTGAAACGATGAATGTATTGATTTTACAAAGATGTGTGTTTTTTTTTTTGTGTCTGTGTACACGATAAGTAGTCGAAATAATGCTTAAAATTCCCAGAACTTTTCAAAAGCGCCAAGAAAAACAAAAGAAAAATTAAGGAAAAACGGGAATTTTTACGCAAAATCGATTTTTCAGAAAATTGAATTTGGTTTTTGGTGTAACTTTAAAACAAATGACCGTAGATACATGTAATTTCCACTGGTTATTTATATTTGCATTTTCTATACACGATATTTTGATTTATTTTGAACAGTTAAGGGACATTTTCATTTTTCATTTTTTTTTAGTTTTTTTTCTAAAAATATCAATACAATTTTATTTTTTGGTTAAAAAAACTTGAAAATTTAATAGAAGGCTCCTAGTATATTGTTTCAAAGGTAGATGAAAAATATTAAAAATCGTTAGCCACAGTTTTTGTTTATAAGCATTTAAAGTTCAAAAATTGACAAAATATGGAAAAATCACGAAAATTAGCAAATTATTTTGAGTTAAGAATTCGTAAAAATTTTTCTTTTTAAATCTAAGATTTGAAATTCAAATTTTTACAACATTGGATATTCACGCGATTTCTCATGTAGCGATTTCCTTATTTTGTTGTAATTCAAAAACAAATAACTGTAGATAAATTAAAATTTCACTGAATTTTCATATTAGCATTTCCTATACAATGTACAATTTTGAAATTAATCGTTTTTCTTATACAATGATATTATATATAATTATAAATTCAAATTTAATACCATCCATTACAGCGACCCCCACTTGTAAGTTGTAACCTAATTTACAGCAGGTTAGGTATACAGCAAAAATATTTTGACTCTTTTTGAGCTGTTTACGGACATTTTCAGTTTTCAATTTTTTTAGTTTTTTTTTTCTATAAATATCAATAAAGTTTTATCTGTTGGGCCAAAAAGTGTAAAAATGTAATACAAGGCTCCTGATATATTGTTACAATATCAGTTGAAAAATATTAAAAATACGTAGGCAAAATTTTTTTTTATAAGCATTTAAACATCGAATTTTGACAGCATTTTTCAAAATCTCGAAAATTATTAATCATCGTAATTAATAAATTATAAAATGTTCAGTTTTTATAGCTAAGGATTGAAAATTTAAAACAAGATTCCACGTAAGTAGTTAATTCTCTTACCGAAAAATCTAAAAAATATACAATCACAGTTTATTTTTATAGTCATTTTATGTTCAAATTTGGACGAAATTACATATTAAAAAACCTAGTTATTTTGTTGTGATTATATAATATTATTCGTGGGTACCTACTTGAAACTTCTAAAGTGTACTATTATATATCTATGATAGTATCAGGGTTTGTTATTGATGTTGATGTATAACGTGTTATAAGTACCTAATGGACATTGTGATAATGTGATATGATTAATTTGGAATTTATTATAGGTCAATTTTTTTGTTAATACCATATATATACCATATATATCTATAGATATGTTTATAATTTGTCTTAAACCTAGACTGACATACCGTCTTCGCTCAGAATCGTTTTTCTCATACAATGATATTGTATCATTGAATTCAAATTTAAAAGCATCCATTATACAGTGACCCACTTGTAACCTACTGTACAGCAGAGCGACATCCACTTACCCACCTTTTTTTGCATTTACACTGATTGGTATTACATAATAATTCATGGTTGATTTGGAAATAAAAAAGAAGGAGGACCCTGTTTATGTTAGATAAACTAGTGTTCCACACAAAATTAACCGTCACATTTCCGTGGAAGGCAAAGCCATCCCACCTCCCTCTCCACCCATCAACCAATCACACCAAAACAATATTAAATTTTTTCGACAAATACATATATAAAGAAAAAACACTTATTTATTATTTTAGATTCTGAGTGGAGCGAGGGATCTAGTGGTTTTACAATGGGGTTTATTTTTAATTTTTTTTTATCCTGTATACACAATTTTTACCAGAAGGAGTTCTTTTATTTAAACATATACTATATTATCTTTTAGCAAATCGGATGAAGATGGTACTTTAAGGAGGTAATTTTTCGATTTTCTCAATAGTTATTTAATGCCACTTGAAAAACCACCAACAAATTACAAAAAACCGCTAAAAATGGGATTTTAATTTCTAATGCTTTATTTATCACAATAGAAACGAATAAAAATAAAAATAACGATTTCAGTTATTTTGTTGTAATTTATAATATTAATTCAACTTACAGGCTATAATAAAATATAATAACGATATAAAATATTGTGTACCTATTAAGTAAATTTGGTATCAGGAAATCACGATTTAGAAATTATGTTGCTATTATGTTGCGTTCCCAACGTCCCGTTTCAAATAAATAGAAGGGGAACGCTAAAACAAAACTTTTAAAAGAAGGGGGACTGAGTCCCCCTCCCAAATCCACCACTGATAATAATACAGAAGTTATGACGGCCTAGGTACAAGACGTCATGGCAATATAATCATTTGATTTCGAATTAGTAGAGGTGTAATGATTAAATAATGAAATATTATCTAGAATCTAGATTATACTATAATAATGTTTGCAATTATTATATGTTCGCGCAAATGCGCAGTATAGTATGTATTATAGGCAGCCGTCATCGCGTATATATTGTTTACAGTTAGATAGGCACCTCGTAACTCGTAAGTCGTGGTATCAAACGAATAAAATATGTAAGAATAGTCTTGTAGTGTTATTGTTAAGTATAATGCCACCATTCGGCATAAATGTGTGCAGTAAATAATACACTTTGCCCGGGAAATCTAGTACAATGCCCGGCCAATGGATGAAAAAATTGAGTATCAAAATGATCATTCTTACATAGACCCATAATGCTCGGGAATTGTGCACAGTGCATAACAATGCTTGATTTCCTGCTTTGCCCGTAACATTCGTATAGGTGATAGGTTGTATGGAAGTATGATGCAGTATAAATACACGATATTTTATACCAACTATATAGGTACCTACTTATTATATTACCTACTGGATTGTTTTAATTTTTTTCACGTATTAATAAGAGTGCCAATGAAAAGAGGACAAACAATACAACGATTTGGTTTATCTAATCTGTGTATAGTGTATACTTCAGGATTAGGAAATAGCCACATAATATGTTTACGAATATTACGTTTTGTACTATGGTCTTACCGTAAGCGTATAATAAAGTACAAACTACTATAGTTATCTGTACTTACTAGATTAAGAATTTCAGTTTGATATAAATTATGTTAATTTTACTGTTATTTAATTAATTTATATATTTTTAATAGCATTAATATTCTGGTTGTATTATAATAATAATAATAATAATAATATTTTCTTTATTACAGAAATAAATTCCAATTATAGTTTTTTTTTTTCTGTATAATGTCTATGTGATTGACCATCTGGCATGGGTGTGTGGCTGTATCAATATGCCTACTAATATTTTCAACTATTTAGACACTCGTAATACTCGTAAGTTATTAATTATATAGTTTGCAATATTTCAATAAGTAAATTTTGGTTTGTAAAAATATTGTTAAAATAACCATATTATATAGATACGCGTTAAACCAACTAGTATAATTGCTACACCGTTATTAGTCATTATGACACAAAATGAGAACAACCAAAATAGCATTTCTCCAAAAAAGGCATCAGAGTTGAGAAATGAAAAAAGAGGAGCATTCGCGGCTATATTATTGTCAGGAGTGATTATCGCTGTATTCGTGGTGTATTATTTAATACTAGGAGAAGAATCGCGGAAAAAAAATTCTTTACAACTCATTGTAGCCGTAAGTAAGACATAAAGCAATAATTGAAATAAATATTTCATTTATACAAAATCATAATGTCCTTTGTAGATTTTTAGACAAGGAGACCGAAGTCCATTGAAATGGGAAACTTATCCTAATGACATGTATGCACCTACGAGCGAAGGGACATGGCCAGACGGCCTTGGGCAGTTGACCAATGTAAGAAATATACGTTTGTTAGTATAATATTATATCGGTACATAAGTTGTATACTCATATTATGTATAGATGGACAAAATCGGGGAAAGGCTTGTAAGGAATTTGCGTATACCCTAATCTAAATGGCTAAATTAGAAAGTAATTGCCAGACGGCAGACTATATGCTAAAGTCTTACCGATTTGCTCAATATGCAGATTTGATGTCACTATGTTAGTGAAGGATATCCTGCAGACTTCGTATTATTTGAATATGTACATTCACTTGACGAATTCAGAACTTTGTCTCTCTTTGCCGGCCAAATAAACAGTGGCTTAACTAGGGCTGACATTTTTTTTTTTTTTGGGGGGGGGGGCAGTATCTCCCACGGCCCACACCCCCATATATGTTCACTTAAAAATATAAAAAAAATCATAAAAACAAAATTAATTATTTATTTACTCAAATATTCAATTATACCTTATTTTTTAATATTTATATTATAATTTTCAAACATAACAATAATATTTTAACGATATGTAAAAAATAATAATTATTATTAGAAGTAGATTTTACAAGTATTACTTGATATATAGGTCGATACAATATTTAAAAGATTATAAAATAAAAATAGTTTGAATGATCGATACATCAAATAAAATAAATTATTATTAAACAAATAGTTAATGAATGTAGGTACCTAATCAGTTATATTTTAAAAGAACTATTAACATAATATGTTGTTTCATATCGTGATATAAAACAAAACAATATTATTGTTAATTTTTGAATAGTATTTATTATATATTAATTTTTTTAATGAAAAGTATACCTATATTATAGAAGTATAATAATAATATATATTTTGTAATTAAATATTAATAATGTAATAATCACACTAATTAGGTTTTAAAAATGCCATGTGGTTGTCAGTAATATTGTAATCTGGGGGTTATTTTTCCAAGGGTCACGGATATTTTTCGGGGGATTTTTATTCTGCTATTACCTATCTCTATGTTATAGTTCACTGCATAGGTGTACTGTAAAATTATGTGTAATAATCATTAATCATACCAAATACAAAATAATTTATATCGTACCGACATAAATTGTTTCCTTAAAACGAATACAAGCATACAGCTTATGATATTTACCATATTTATCATAAGCAATATAAAAAAAAAGTTTAAATTAAAATTTAAAAAATTTAAAAATTAGGTATATTTTTTTCCACAAAAAAAAAATAAGAAATACAGTTTAATTTTTAATTATTTGTTAATATTTTAGGAAAGAATTGAATAATTTATTTTGAGGGGGCTATTTAAAGTTTTGGGGGGCTAAGACTCCGGTAGGTGTGTTTATGCAAATAAACCATAGTGAAATTATTGTTCCCAAACCATTTATCGCATAGACATTAAAAGTATAACATTAGATGTGCAATGGTATCTGACTGCCGACCAATGCTTAAAATTGGAGTTCATCAACTGACAAATAAAAAATGTTTATATCAAATTTCAATAATCACATAATAGTATAATACAAACACACAAGTACACAAAACTTCAATACCTATACCTAAGTCTAGATACTTCAGTATAATAGTCAAATATAGTTTCAGATTTGTATTTACTTATTCATCTTACAAACTAAACTAAACAATCATAAGAATCGATTGGGGTGTTTATATTATAAAACAAAATTAAAATTTTTACCTAAATTATAATATATACATATATTTAACAAATTATTCAATATAATTTAATATTAAAACTCGCAGTTGAACACTTGAGCCAATTAGAAGCAAAAATCTCATCTTTAGATATACCGCCTATTGTTTTAATATATCGAACAAGTATAGATAGCCATTCAGCCATAGGTTCAAATAGGAGGTAGTGTGGTTGGAGAACTTGGTCCTTATAAAGTAGGTAGGTATACCCGTATCGTATACTAGAAAACTAAGGGAATTAATTATAATTATTAATGGAAAAATATAAAAATGAAATAATTATATATAGGTGTTAAATACTATAAGATAAATATAGTAACATAGTAATAGTATAGTCAATATAGGTAGGTATACTGGCTTTTTTTGTCAAATTAACTATAGCCCAATTCAGTCTAACCAAGAAATGTTGGCTATTTGAGCATGTAATATGTAGTGTGCAGAGGAAGAACATGTGATACATTATATAGTTGTAACTTGTATCAGCTATAATATATTATATTTAATTTTGAATTTAAAAAGGCAGGAAAATTAAAGTCATATGAATTTGGAAGACGATTTCGAAAGCGATACACGAAATTTCTCCCAGTCACCTACAACAGTAGCTTTGTTTTGGTACAGAGTACAGAAACTGATCGTACACAAATGACGGCGTCGGCATTTTTAGCAGGAGCGTTTCCGCCCAGTGGCAAACAAATTTGGAACAAAGATTTACAATGGCTACCTATACCAATCCATTCAATACCTCCAAATCAAGACAACGTAAATGTGTACTTCATACTATCTTAAGCCAAGTTATTAGACATATTTTAGTTTTACGATGATAAATAGTAACCTGCAGCTATTATAATTTATAATAAAATTCCAATATCCCCTTTATTAATTGTAAAGTAAAGGTACTTCTTCAATATATTTTTCTTATGATGGATTTCGTTCAAAAATAGTTTTTAAAAAGTAAAATGTTCATGAACCGTAATTTAACTTAAGTATTTTTGATTTTTATAAAAATATTGAAAGTTAGAACTATCATCATTTTATGATATTGTATATTTGTATTTATACGTATTTTGTTTTGAACAATTTTTGATTTTTCAAATTTCATCTCAATTAATATTAAAAGTTATAACTTATAGCATACCTAGTTGGCTAGTGAACATAAAGCATATACATAATGTTAATAAATATAAACATAATATAAATAATAATATTTTTTAACTTTAATTAGAGAATCGCTATTAATAATTTGTTTATGAACTATATTAGGAATAATTTGAAAAAACAGCTCACCAATTATCTGTATAGCATAACCCTTCTGATTTTTAAAACCTTATTCCTAATAAGTTTTTCCTAGTTAGAACCCTTATCTATAAACAAAGACAAATAACCACTTTGTATTTTTAATATTTAGATGCTTAGAGTTACAAAGTCCTGTCCTGCTTATGACGCAGAATTTGAAAAAGCAAAAAATGAAACTGAAAAACAAATGTTATTTAAATATGAAACTTTCTTCAACTATATATCTAATCACACAGGTTTAGAAATAAAACATCTTTCAGACGTTGAAAATATATTCAACTCATTAACTATACAGGTAATTTATTATTTTTGATAATTTTAATTACCTACCATATAACTATACCTATTATTATGTATATTTTGTATTAGGTATATCAATGGAAATTATAATAAATTATGTCTTTATAAATTATAAAATAATTTCGTGGTTTATTTATATTTTATAGCAAAGAAATCATCTGACTTTGCCATCATGGGTAAAAGTAAAAAATTATATGGGTCTTATGGAAAATATTGTCTTAGAATGGTTGGTTACTTATTCGAAAACGGATTTCATGAAAAAATTAAGGTCCGGAAAACTCATTGGAGAAATAGTTAAAGTGATGAGGGACAAAATGGATGGAAGATTATACCCTGACAGAAAAATGTTTGCTTTCTTTAGTCATGAGCAGACGTTGATTGATTTTTTTCATACATTGGGAATGAAAAATCTTTTTAAACCTAGCTACGGAGCCGCAGCTTTTGTTGAACTACACAAAATCAAAGAAGAATTCTATGTAAAAGTAATAATACATGTTTATGGATATCTATCGATATCTTATAAAAAAAATAGGTAGATACTTCCCCTAATGAAAATATATTTTTATTCTAGATAATGTACACAAAAACCTATGACACTCCCGATATTCTATCTCTAGAAATGGAAGGCCAAACTAGTTTTTTACCAACACTAGAAGATTTCATAATATCAACCGAAAATTATGTACCAAAAAACTGGGAAAAAGAATGCCAGCTTAAATAACATTTGACTAATATCAATTTAAATTTATATTGTAATCATTAAGATTTAAGTTAGTTGCGTATATTATGTACATTAATAATTGTAAATTTATTAGCTTTAATTAATAATCTTTATTCCTACTTTGGATTATAATTTATAAGTAGGTACCTAGGTATTTCTGTATTAGCATAATGAAATAATGAATAGAGCGTAGATTGTGCAAGCTTTACTCATTGAAATTGCTGGTATTAGTGCATAGTGGTATTATTCCAATAGGTATCACCTATTAATTTATTAATTATATATTAAATGGATTACAGAATCAATCCAGTATGATTCACAAACTATTAATCCACAATAATGTTGTCTGAAAATCGGCAAATATCAAGACATCAAGTGTATATTATGTATTAAATTAAAATCATAATTTGTAATTTTATTGTGTAAATGTATTGCAGGTAAAAACATTATTATAATTTATAATATCCCCCCCCCCCCAATAAAAAATATTTATCTAGTCTCCACGTAATAGGTACAGATACGAGTACCTACAAATTGTGTTTAATATCATCAATATCAACATTTTCTTTAATTTTAACCAAGACATTTTTGACAACAAGCTATTTTTCGTATCAATGAATATCATAATAATTCATAACGAGTTGATGAAATAATTTTTAAAAAAATATATACGAATTTTTTATTTATTACAGAAATTGGTAAATGTTTTTCCAAATTAAAAAAAACCTCAAATTTCTTTCACAATTTTTTTAAAAAATATATTTCATCAACTCGTTATGATTTTATGCTTTTTAGTGATGAGAAAAATAGCTTGCTTGTCTGGTTAAAATTAAAGAAAATTTGCATTTTGATGATATCAAAAAAGTAGTTACTTACTGAAGATGTGTATCTAAATTTGCATACATTTCTACAAGTGCTATACCTGTTAGTTGCGCAACCTTCATTTTCTTCAAAGGGGCGATTAAAAGCTTGTCAGAAAACAACAATGAGACAAGAACGATTTTCAAATTTATTAATATTGAATATTGAAAGAGATTTTGTATTTGAGTAAAGTTGAATGTGCCGTAGTACCTATATAATTATTTATAATTTTAATTAAAATTGTTTACTATACCTAGTTTTATATGAATTTATTTATGTATTGTTAGTAACCACCTTGTATATTAGTTAAGGGGGTACGGGGGCGAAGACCCTGCGTGTCTTTGCTACTGATAAAATTCTAGCCCCCCCCCCCCCAAACATGGATCCTAGATGTGCCTATGGTTATACTTCCCCCTGGGCACGTCACAATAATAGGTTTTAATGTGTCATACATTTATGATTTACCAATCCATCGGGTGACAATGTGACATATCTATATATACATTAGGAGCACCGAACTATCTATTTAACATAATAGGTATATACGGTAATCGGTAAAGGAGACCAAGAAAAATAAGAATGAGAGAAAAAAGAACAAATTAAAAAACCCAAGAAAAAATAACAAACGGAAATAAGACTAAAGAAAACATAAATGAGAAGTATACTTTTAAAGTTTTAAACTGATAAAAAATATTGGAATATGTAATATTATTTCATTAAGGGGATCGGTGGCGGACAGTTATTTTAGCCAAAACATCCAATTTTTATTCCATCATACTGATCGATGTAGTAATGCGATAATACTTTTTAAAACTGATTTGAATTTGTTATTATGTCTACTTGAGATCGGTCAGTCTATTTTTCCCAATTTCACCCCCCTAACAACCAAAAATTTAGTTTGAATATTTTGAAATTTCGGCATTTTCAAACGTTGATTATTCGGAATATAAATCAGAAATCTTAAAATGTGAACTGACCGATCTCAAGTAGACATTATAACGAATTCAAATCAGTTTTTAAAAGTATTATCGCATAACTACAGCGATCAGTATGATGGAATAAAAATACATAGTTTTAGTAAAAAAAAAACACACGTTCTGGATCGTTCATGCGCGCGACAATGCGACAGTGACTTGTACTACGACGCGGCAGAGTTCCTCCGCCACTACCGTTCCTTCACCCATATCGCATGCCACGGTCTGCTATAGATAGATTACAAATCGTAATTATACTATTCTAGGTATTACTACGGTACAATTATAAAATTTATAATAAGATATTTAATATCTTGCGTATATTGATAATTTGGTATGAATGAAATATAATTTAATAATATAACATGAAAATATGAAATATTGTTCATTTGAGCTTCGCCTCACGTCATTACTACACTTGGACTTGGTATATTATGTATTTTTTTCGCTAGTGTAAAATAGCAAGATTTTTACGCACTTAAGTGATTAAAACTTAGATTTTGTTTTTATAAAACGTGATTTGTTTTCTTTATAATAATTTGGTAAAATGGGAAATAAAAAACAAAAACTATCCAAAGTGAAAAAAAATAGAGGTAATGTTTCATCACTTTTAAATTGGTAAACTCATCGCATACAAAAAACAGTAAGTGAATATACTTACTTAAATGTTTGTTTACTTATAAATTTCATTTTTTATTTTTGTTTAAATTATTTCGTAGGATAACACCGATAGTTTGACTATTCCAATTGAAGGTCAAAATAACGAGTATGTAGAACAAAGTAGTATTGAATTGTTCGTAATAAATTTTCTTTTTTTTGTACATTTACACGTTTTGGGCTACTGATAGAATTTTTTTTTCGTTATTTAGAATAAATACCGATGATGTAGAAATGGGTTTTAATATTTTATCTCCGTCGACATCAAATATTAATCACAATATACTTCATTCGAAGTATAAATTGCTTGTGACAAATACAAACGAAAATAAACAAGTACAGTAAGTAAATAATCTTTATACCGAAGATAACAATTTGTTTCTTACATAATAATATAACAGGGGCGTATTTATGGGGGAGGCTGAGTGGGCTGCAGCCCCCCCTGGAATTTCAAGAAGATCCAAAAAATATGAATGTCAATAAAACTTTATTTGTTGGGTAAAAAAGCTTGAAAATTTAATACAAGGCTCCTGCTATATTGTTACAATAGCAGTTGAAAAATATTAAAAATCCTTAGTCATAGTTTTTTTATAAGCATTTAAAGTTCGAATCTTGACAAAATACTGAAAGATCACAAAACTTAAAATTTTGCTGAATGTTTTCTTTTTTTATACACCAAAAAAATTTGAAAATATTTTGCCTCTTTTTGAGCTATTTACGGACATTGACAGTTTTCATTTTTCTTAGTTTTTTTTCTATAAATATCAATAAAAAATTTTTTGTTGGGTAAAAAGCGTGAAAATTTAACGCAAGGCTCCTGATATATTGTAACAATATTAGTTGAAAAATATTAAAAATACATACCTAGGCACAATTTTTTCTTATAATCATTTAAAGTTCGAATTTTGACAAAATTTATCAAATTTAAAATATAATAAATATTTTGTAATTAAAAATTTATAAAATGTTCAACTTTCATAGTTAAGGATTAAAAATTTAAAACAATGATAGGAAAAAATAAAAAAAAATATAACAAAAATAGGTAAATATATAAATTACTTTATTCACAATAATATCATCAAATATATTTGGTAATATCATAGGCTGACTGACCGTTTTCGCTTAGAATCGTTTTTCTTATACAATGATATTTTATCATTGAATTCAAATTTTACACCATCCATTACAGTTACCCACTTGTTACCTACTGTACAGCAGAGCGACATCCACTTACCCACTTTTTGTTTATTGTGTGACTATGTTGATAATTTTCTTCAGCCCCTCCCGAAATAAACTTCTGGATACGCGCCTGTAATATAATATTAGGTCTAGGTGTGTCCCCGTGCAATATTGTATGTTAGACAAATTAATTTAATTATTTTAATTAGATGTTAACAAAAAATAGGATTAAAAAATCCAAAACAGTGAGTGTTGTTGAACACTCGGCAGGAACGAAGTTCAGTGCATGTGATGCGAGACGCGGAAACATATATGGTTAGAAAAATATAAATAAATAGTGATAGAGAGAGAGAGACAGAGAGAGAAATGAATGTTTGTATAAATATATCGCGCGCATGGTAATAAAATTATAATCAATTTTTTCTGAGTATTATGAAAAAATGGTATTTTAATCATTATAAAAGTACAAAGCAATTATGAAATTAATCAGTAGGTCTAACGCGTCGACTGCGGCGCTGGCAGTCGCGGGTTCGCCTCTCGACCACTGGGCGGCATTTTTCTCCGGGCAAGTCACGGTGTCCGGAGTACAAGTGCCGCCATCCCCCAACCCGGGGCATGGCAGAAACCTACGGGTGCCCCAATAAAAATTCTGCCACCACAAACACACACGTGTACCAACCTACCCAATCTAAAAACCTACAGTTCCCTCCCAACACCCAATGGCCTATGTTGCCGCGGGTTATCCAATAAAAAGAAAAAAAAAAAAAAAACCTATTGATGGTTAGTCAATTCTACTGAAAGAAATTTTAATAATGATACGGTTGATACAGCTTGTACTCGATTATCGTTTTTCAAAAGTAAATTTTAATTTCATTTGTTTAATAGATTTGTATGTATATAGAGAAGAAGGTAAATGGAAATCACAATGGAATTTATAAATTTAAGGGGCATAAATTATTTTGAAAATAAAATTCTTATCACTTTCCTTATCAATAAAAACAATATTTATGAAAATCCCAATAAATCCCATCAAAAACTCAAAACCCCGAGTTTCCCCTTGGCGAGGTGGGTGTTAGTACTCTCCCGGACCAAAATCCAAAATCCAAAAGGGGGGGAGGAGGTGCCCCCGTTCCCTAAAGCGGAAAACTGTAGTCTTCATAATAAGAATGGGTTCCCCCTTGGTCCGAAGTCTTTAACTTGAATTCCGGCCGAGTTACACTCAACTCAAAATGTGGGGGGGTGGGGGCTTTGGTTCCCTAATGTTGAAAATTCATCTGGGGCCTAAAAAATTGAGATGCCCATTGGTCCGGGGTCTCTAAGTCGAATACCGGCTAAGTTATGCTTCGTCAAAAATAATTACTCGTTTAATGGGTCCCCCCCCCCATTCCGCCCGACGGTCACCTCTACGCGCGTGACGACCGATGTTGGGTAGCCTACGCGAATGGAACCCGGTTGCCAGATGGTACGATCCTAGTGGCAGTGTTGCCAACATGTAAAAGTCCGTTGTCCGTATACATTTTGTCAAATTACCGTATAGGACCGTACGTATACTTTTTGTCAAATTACCGTATTGGACCGTACGATAATAAATAAAGTCGAAGGTGCATCAATGTCATCATCACTTTCATTAAACATCATAATAAAAAATATATAAAACGACCGGATAATCGACTAAACAAAAAAAAGTAACTCGTTTTGATGTGAAAAAAATGTGCGACAACAAAGTATTATAGGTTAAATGTTTGCCACTGTGGAGTAAAACATTGCAAAAATAGATCGTGGGGAAAAACACACAAGTAAAATAAGGTCAAAAACCTTAAAGAGAATATAAAACCCCAAAAATTCAATAAAGGCGCATTTTATCTTATCCTAATTGTAATTTTGACAAAACTATATAACATGATATCACTGGGATCTACCACAATGATGATAATCACGGAGTACGGAATAAGATATGATTTTATATTATCTTATAAGCATTGGAGATATTCAAGATTGTTGGTATACGAAAAAAAAATTTAAATATTTATCGTACGTATGGTAACCCTGCAATTACCGTACTTTCCTAGTAACAATTTTATTTTATTGTTCTATGCTAGTAATTTTGACCGGTCCGTCCGTGGACCGTACGGGAGGCCAAATTACCGTACTTCCCCAACCGGGACCGTACGGTTGGCACCACTGCCTAGTGGGGACATACGATAATATGAGAGGATGGAGGGGATATGTAAGCCGGCAGCCGAGCAGAGCCGAGCCGAGCCGAGCCGAGCAATTTTTCAGTGTTACGCTTTTCGGTGTTACGCTTTTTGGTGTTGCGATTTTTTTCCAGCGACTCCCATCCACCTAACGCCCCATAAGGAACTTCGTTCCAATAAAAAAATTGTTTTGTGGTTAGAAATTTACACATTTTGTAATGCTTTCATTTTATTCCAATAAAATAAAACATGTAGCCATATAGGTATAATATAGAGTAAGTTTTTATTACCTACGAAAAATTCCATATGAAGAGCTTTTCATACTTGCATTCATTCTGTATCTTTATTTTTGTTATTATTTGAGTGAAAAAACTGTAGTCTATTGACAGTCGTCAAGTCAGTGACCAATATGCTATTATGTTGGAATTGTTTTTCTTTAACTGTTAACTGGTGTTAATTTTTATAAATGGACATTTTTTAAACCAATAAAGGTGGTGAAAATATAAGTTGTATGAATATACTCATGTTGCAAAGAAAAATGGTAAAAATGATTTGTAATGGTCCAACAAAAAGTACGACTTATATATATTTTCCTAGAATATTGAGGATTATAAATTTATTTTTAAAACTGACTCTTTTATGACAACAGAACATTTTTTATCTATTTATATATAATTTTAAACAAGCAGGTGGGTCGTGGGTACCTCTTCAACCTACCTCTTCATTTTTTCTCTATTTTCCAGTATATTGTTTAATTAAGTTATTAGGTTTAGAACATTTTATTTATTATGATCCGTTGTGATTCATCATTGTTAATCCCGGAACGGAATATTTTTCTGATAATATTATTGTATAAATATCGAATAGGACAGGTATTGAACCAATTGTCACTTAGTTTTAAATCATAATAAATGTCAATAAGTTTCAATTTTATATGAACAGATTATAATAATTATCATGGTAATCCTTGAAAATATTAAGCGCCTGTCATGCTCCCATATCTTATCTAATTTTATATAAATACTAAAAAATAATCAATAGAATAGGTAGGTACTAGGTACTAGGTACTAGGTAATAATTATATTAACATCGACATTGTCAGTAGGATTCAATTTTCGAAGTATAGGTACAGATTACAGGAGTTAAAAAATAAAAATGATATGCGGGTTGTTATTTATTGAGTTTTAAATGAAAGCCTAGTGTTAGGTAAGGTAGGTAATTGTCTAAAAATTATGAATCATTAAATGAAAATAAAATATTACATATATCTCAAACTAAAAAAATGATTATAATATTATATTAGTTACAAACTTTCAAATGTACATAAATTGATGGAGATAATGCTTGTGGCACGTTAAGTGGACCACTCTGTATACATGAATGTATTATAGTACTAAAGTCTAAAGGTGTGAGTTACAAACAGCAAATAGCGAACATGCATATTATATTAATAACCACTAACTAGCTATCTTGTGTCGTGAGTACAATATTGTTTAACTTATCAGAGTTTGTTATTATTTATTTTAAAGTACCTACTAACAAAATAATACTGAATATAAAATCATGCATTTTAGTTTAAAGTACATTTTTTTATTAATTTTTATTGCAAATGAATGTGTTTCTAAATCTATAAATCAAGATCATTTACAGTTAAAATTTGTTTTCATAGTAAGTACTAAATACCTATACCTAAAAATACCTACCAATATTATACGGGTTATAATAAAGATTGCTACTAGACACTGCATGTATTCTTTGACTTGTATATCAATTTAATACAAATGTTTCTATATTAACCAATGCAGCTTCAAGTATATTCATAATACATATTATGTATATACTATATAGATGGATGATATTCTATTGTTCATCTTTCATGACATAACTTGGGAGAGGTCCGCAGCAGTGACACCGAAGTCCTAAAAAGTTTATGTTGTGCACTAAATCCCATGCCCCAAACTAATACTTATTAATACTGCCAGTGGCGTTTCCTGACTTTCGGCGTTAGGCGTTAATGTGTGAGGAAAACAATTAGGAAAACCCCCCTTATGGGAAATAAATTCGTATCAACTATTAATAATCAACATATTATTAAAATGATTTATTATATATTATGTTTTCGACGATCGGCGTTGCAGTAATGCAGTCTTGCAGTATAGTAGGTACCTATGGGCTACTACGTAAACAGGATAACGTGCAGCCGCGACGATCCCCACTAACGGTCCAAACACAGTGTACAGGCTAGCGCTAGAATATAAGACTAGTGAGTAGTGGCTAGTCGTTAATTTCATTTTCAACGACTTGGTCTAGTATTAACATGGCACCGAAGTTATCCGAAAATATCACGACAAATTACGAATATGAGATATTAGATACCACAAGTCGTTGTTCGAATTATTAACGTCCTACACGGCTACACCCTACACAAACACAACATAATACAATATTATTCCGTAATCGGCGTCGTAGCTGCAGACGGCCCGGGCGCATGGTCGAGTTTAGCTGTTCAGAGCTTAAAATAGACAATAGTTTATTATTTGATATTATTATTTTTAAATGACAATTATTTTAAGATTTTGTAAATAAAATTATATAACCATGTAATATACTAATATGAATTACAAATTACAATATTACACACATGTATGACATCAATGTTTAGGGCGTTAACACACAACTTGCACACCCAGAGAAAACGCCACTGAATACTGCATAGGGTAAAAGTTCTGCAGTGTTTAAAATAATTATAGAATTTAAATTGTACCTACATTACAACAGTATAAGATTCAATTCAATATAATATAGCCATATAGGTAGGTATTACACTATTACGATAATACTAATTAGTAGGTAGATATTTATTATTATCTATTAGGTACTAACACATACAGATACACTCAACTCAATATATTTACCGAATGGCCGTAAATAATCATGGCGAAATTCGATGTTTTTAACTTTATGACAGGACTTCAAGTAACAAGTTACGATATTTTATAATACTGCTTATTTATTGTGAATATTGTGATATTATCATATATAAAGGTAGGCATACAAACCTCCCACCCATTAATCGATAATTAATTGAAATAACGATTCTAATGACCACAAGGTCATTGCCCGTTGGTTATGCTTATGATGTAGCTGTATAAGGTATATAAGTACCTAATAATGACTATATGTACGTATATATCATAGCACCATAGTAGCATTAAGCAATAAGCATTAAGCACTATCTGCCAACAATTTACATACACTTTTTTGTCTTCCATGAAATTTTCAAGAAGTATTGACATCAAAACTGAAAATTGTATATTATGTTTATTTATAATTATTATAGTTAAGAATTTAAGACGATGTCAGTTGCATGTCTTCGTGATGCACTATTGTCTGTTTTATATCTTTTGCAAGTAGCTATCTACGCGACATGGAAAAACGCAATCACACAAAATTATTTTTTTTTATGTCTTAGAGCAATCTTACGGTAAAATCACCCATTACAAAATGTATAGATTAACGTAATATTAACATTTTAAGGGTATCTATGACTAGGATACAAAGTATCGATTTGTATAAATATATTGTCTTAAAATTATTTTTTATTCTGAAAGTCTAATAATAATAAATTTAAATATAAAACCATTAGGTTTATCAAAACTTCAAAAATATTATCCTCTATAATCTTTGTAATGGTTGATTTCACTCTAAAATTACTCAAAAATACGATTTCATGTGAAAGCGTTTCAACTATAGAAAAGAGATAAGACCGGGGTTTCATCTATGTTGCGCGTGCGGAGTGTGAAAGGGGTGCGACTCGTTTGCGCACATTTACCTTTTTTACGGCACGTTTGCGCACAAAATCACAACTCGTTTGCGCACACATATTTTGGGTTTAAATTATAAAGGTACAACTCATTTGCGCACATTTCACTTTGAGCAGAACAGCACATTTCTCTTCTCACTTTAATATAGGCTTAGGACCATCTGTTTTGTACAGATTAAAAATGTGCATGTCGTGTGTATCTGTTCTGAATAAATATATAATTATACAATTAATAAGAAGTAATAGTGGTTCTATGCGTGTTTTTAATTTTTAAAATTTTATATTTTTTTATTATCAACTAACCTTACTACATCACTCAAGGAACATTTTTTATTTGTAAACCTAAAATGTAATGTGTATCACTAGATTTTAAAGTTCGAAATTCTCTTTCAAAAATATCACTAATTTCGATATCCATAGTCACTAGTCAGTAGGTAGTACCGCTTTCTGGAGAACGACTGCTTAAAAATATTATGTTTAATACACGTCGATTATTTTCAATGATGATAATGATATATTGAATATTGATATGCTGATGTACTGATAATTTGTACCGATAATCAATTACTTAAGTTAGTCCAAATTTAAAAATATAAAATATATGTTATGCAGTGTTTATATGTTGTGCGCAAACGAGTCGTCCGTTTTTAGGTTAACGACGGTATTCGTTGTGCGCAAACGAGTCATCGATATCTAGGTAAACAATTTGGATTGTGCGCAAACGAGTTGCACCGGTGTGAAAGGGAAAACAAATATTGCGCTGACATCCTCTTAAACAAACGATGAATTAATTTTATTCGTCCTCCACTGACAACCGGCTTCGTTATAATGTTATAAAATTTAAATAATGTATATTATTGTAGAACCCGCACCGTTTACGGTCCACACCGTCGGTGTATACGGATGCTGCCAATTTATTGCTGTAATTTATACCTAGGTACTATTATTGATACAAATTAATATTTTTTTATTATTTTCTGGATACGAATAATTAAACAAGATAGAAATTACATACAAAAACTGGTTGCTACAAATTGTAAAATCATTTTTAAGAAATTAATTAAAAAGAGTTTGAAAAACATAGTCCTCATAATACACGAAATCTTCTTAAGTAAAATTTCATATTTAAATTATAAGTCATCTATATGGTTCCGGGACATTTGCGGTCGGCACCTTTTGCGTGCCATTTGCGGTCAATTTATTTCTATCTACCTGACTATAAGATTTGGGTGCTATACATATATAATATTTTATATTCTATATACTTAATTTATGTTAATAGGTATAATATTATAATACTTTTTTACTATAATTGATATAATTATATACTTGTCAAATATATTGTATTTAAACTTCCCTTTACACTTTTCCAGGCTTAGGACTGGCAGTATTTTTTACTGGCGTGTTTAAAAATTCACATAATAATAAATTTGTCAATCACAATTCACTGTACTTACATAAAAAAATTTTAAAAAATGTATTATTATAAAAAGTGGACATAATAATATATTCGTCAATCATAATTCACTGTACTTACATAAAAAAATTTAAAAATATTTATTATTATTATTATTATAAAAAATGCACATAATAATATATTTGTCACAATTCACAGACTCACAGTACATAATAAACATAACCAGCTTATTCTAATTTTTGAATAATAGCTATTTTTTAAGCATTTTTCTAAATCATTATCTAATTCATAGTCTACTAATGTTTTTCTAATTCTTTCGTCGATTTGTATGTACTTTTTTTTTCTCCTTTTACCTTCCATATTCAAGTAGCTTCTTTCATATAAAAGTTCCGCATTTTCAGTATCTTTTTTAAGACAGCTATATATGTTCATAAACGTTGGTCGCGGTGTATTTAATAATTTATTAAGTTTACTATTCCAACCCTCAACAATATTATTAGTTCTGTGTCTTCATTTATGATAGTTCCACATTCCCCTTGAAATAATTGGATTTTCCAACCACTGTTCAATAAAGTAATCATAAAATAATTTAAGTTTATCATTATCAGGTATACTACTCATTATAATAATCCAACCTTCATCTATGTCACTAATTGGAATATGAGCTAAAGCAGAACACATTCTAACAACATACTTAAAACTTTAGTACCTGTCGTTTTTAATCTTCCTTTGCATTTTTCTTGTTTTTTCTCATTCAAGCATACCCAGGTTATAATATTTGCGTAATTTGTTAGATACTTTCTACCTATATTGATAGTCGTCGTGTATAGCTAGAAGATGACCTTTAGTTGTCTCTATCATTTCAAACGAATTATTCATTTTTAATTTAAATTTTAAATCAAAACACTGTTAACAAATCGAACTGTAGGTACCAAGACGTGTATAATACTAAATTACTAAACACTGAGTAAATATTTCCGACGATGTTAAAAATTTAAAAAATAAAATATACGTAAACGTTATCGCCTTATCGATAATAACATCGAATATCCACAATCAACCAAATGGCTGTATCACAAATTGGTTCATCCAGTATAAATAAATATCACGGCCAACACATTTTCATAGTATGGCGTATAACGTGTAAGTAGGTGAATTGTGATTGACAAAAATATTATTATCATTTTTTTATAATAATTATAATAATCTTTTAAAAAACATTAGGGTATGTTTTTTATGTAAGTACAGTGAATTTTGATTGACAATAGTATATAATTATATCAATTAGAGTAAAAGTATTATAATATTATACCTATTAACATAAATTAAGTATATAGTATATAAAATATTATATATAGCACCCAAATCTTATAGACAGGTAGATAGAAATAAATTGACCACAAATGTCCCGACCGCATCGGTGCCGACACCATCTATATGAAGGTAGCTACCATAGCCAGTACCTATATATACTTACAACTTACTATTACCTTCTTCAAAATGCAATTGTACCAGCTACATTACTCTGCAGTTGCAATATTTATAAGGTACCTACTTAAGTTGGTAGTTACACTGTTGCACTGTTATAAGTACTTATAACTTATAAGCTTTTTTAATCTGTCATTGAAAGTCGAGATCTCGACTGGTGGAGTGATCATACAGTAATAATAAATTATATTTACAACTGACAATTGTGTGTTTTTTGACAGTTGATGAGACACATGAACCGTGCGCCGTTGATCCGGTACAAAAACCAAACTGATCAAATACCCTGGCCCCGCGGTTTGGGCGAGTTGACCGACCAGGGCGTGTGGAACGCGTACCGCGCGGGTCAAGCTCTGCGTGAACGGTACTTGGGCTTCTTACATCCCCTACAGCGGTACACGCCCAGCGAGATCGACGTGTCCACCACGGAGGTCGACCGGTGTTACCAGTCCGCCGGCTACCTGTTGGCTGGTATGTACCCGCCCAACGAAGAGCAGACTTGGAACAAGGACCTCAAATGGCAGCCCATACCGATCAAGACAAGTTTGTCGAAAGACCACCAGCAAGTAAGGAATAAGGATACAAATACAAATTAAAGATAGTCGAATTGCACTTATTATTACCTAAAATGAATTGGTCGAAATGCATTCGGGTAAAAAACAGGTTGTGTTCGAACTGCACTCGTTCAAAAAAAGGTGTTAAAATTTCAGGTCACTATGGACGTTCTCTTTTATTATGATAATAATATTTAACGATTTAAAAAAAAAAATACTAAAAAAAAATGATAAAATGAAAAAGACTAATATTTGACGATTTAAAAAAAGAATAAAAAAATTTTATATAATATGTTATTACTACAAAAAATATCAAAATTAGTTTAAAAAAAAAGTTATAATAATGACAATAATAATATTTGATAATTTAATATATTATGTATATACCTATATACTATATAGTATTATGTTAATATAATCTGGACAGTGTTGGGTAGTAACGTAACAAAAGTAACGCGTTACATTGCTTGTAACGCGTTAAGGAATTTCATAAGAATTATTTCCAAATAACGAAAATGTAATGGAAATTACTTTTGAAAAGTAATTTCTAGAGAATAACGAGTTACAGTTTCGAATTATTTAGTACCTACCTACATATTGCGAATTGAAAAAAAAATATATATGTATAATGAGGGTATTATTATGTTTACCAATCTAATATGTATATATATTTAATTTTAACTCGACACAATTCAGTTTTGAATGGTTTTGGCATTCGAAATGTCTAATTGCACAGTAAATCACGAGGACAGTTAATTAAATTTATTATTTGATTTGATTTCTTTAGGCTTTAAATAGGTTTCCTATGAATATAGCTTGTGTGGAAGACTACATTTTATATAATCCTATTAACTGTACAGGTTTTATAAAGAATTTGTTCAATTTGCCTGCAGAAGATAATTGCCAAGAAATTAAAAAAATTGTTTATTTTTGTAACGAGAAAGTAATAAGTTACTTTTCTATTTGAAAAGTAAAGTAATTTCATTACAATTTTATTTGAGTAACGAGTAAAGTAACTTAATTACTTTTTAAAAGTAACTTACCCAACATTGATAATGGACAGTGGTTTGTATAAAACAATCGTTTTTAACTACGCCAATAATTAAAATAATTATCAGTCCTAAGCCTGTAACTGGGAAGGGAAATGAGTGTATTATAAACGTTTAACCCCTTCAAATAGGTACATGATATTTTTGTCGGAATACCTTTTTGAGCCCAAGCGCAGTTCGGCTAAAATAAGTGCAATTCGGCCATACCCGTTTTTTACAGTTTTAATACATATATTAGAGGAAAACATTTCAAAGGGGAGGAGGTAAACACCCAAACCTGCTTCAACTATGGTACCTACAATAGCACCCATTAGCACCCAAGGTCATAGTTACACCACTGTCACCACTGCATTAGTATCGTGTACCTGTTGTATACCTATATTTATTTTTTAGAAAAACGGTGTTCAGGGAATTTAAATTTAATAAGAAAAAAAATCAAATTATTTTCCTACTTCACCAGATTAAATTAAATCACGCGATGGCTTCCTATAGGCTATAATATAATATGTCAATATATTATAGGTACCAAAAGCTTACAATTTAGATTCTGAGGGAAGCGAGGAATGCATCAGGGCAGTGCCGCATTTAGGGAGCAGCTCTGGGTACAACTGCCCCGAGGGCCAGTATTTCTAGGGGCGCCAATTTTTTTTTTAGTCAGAAATTTGTTTACTTGTGAATTATAAAAATTTTTATAATTTTAATTATTTTAAAAACAGTATTATATAATATAATTTAATATAATAGTATTATATATAATATAGTATTATGCTATTTGAAATTTTTTTAATTAATATTAATTTGCGTAGTTTTAAATAATTATATTTTAATTATTCATGAAGTACCTATAACCTACTTAAATGTTTAAAAAAAAAACAATTTATATGATGAACTATAAGCAAGGTTTAAGTGACATAATTCAAATGTATCTTTGCCGAGAGAGGATCAAGCAATTACTAAATATTTTTAAAAAAAAGCACACAATGTAAAACAAATATTCTTTTCTGTGCTCAAAATTTAAAAGGTTAATGAGGATCAATCTCCCATATTTTCCGTGGGTAAGCCCCTTAGGGAAGCATTTTTTTCCCCTGGGCTCAACATTTCTAAATGCGGCACTGCATCAGGGTTGAACAGTTTTATGAATTTTGTGGGTGATGAGTGATGACCGATGACCACTTTTAAGATAAGAGGAATATTTCAAAACTCAATTTATCCAATTTATATTTTTACATATACACTGAAATGACTTCTTTTGAAATTAAGAAAAATGTTAGTTTACAGGAGATCCAAGATTATGTCCAAAGTATGCTATGGAATTACATGAAATTTGTGAAAATGCAATAAAAACTGAAAAGATAAAAAAATTAATCAACTATATGAAAAACTACACATCAAATCCATTAAATACACTTTATGATGTATTAAAAGTAGCAGATGTCATTATGACACAAGTAAGAAACTGAAATAAATAGATATGAACAATTATTTAAAATTGTTGTTTACCTATAACTAATTATATTAATTGTATTGAAATAACTTACATTTCATTATGACTATTTTATACATCTTTTTTATTTTTAAATATATCCATTTAATATGTTTATTTTTTTAGCGTATGGCAAACTATACAATCCCTAATTGGGCATTAGAACGGTATAAAGATATTGAAGAATATATATTATATTCTATGACAATATTAGTTGAAACAGATCAAATGAAACTTTTATATTCAGGTTATTATATTCACACAAATTATACATATTTACATTAGTAATAATATTTGTATAAATAATTATTTATTAGGTGAAATGTTAAATGATGTGTTAACGAGAATGGAAGCATCAATAAATAAATCACCAGATGCAAAAAAAATATATTTGCATGTTGGTCATGATTCGACTATAGTTCCTTTCCTGAAGACACTAAATGTAAAAAATATAACATATCCACTTTATGGAGCAGCTGTTGTAATGGAATTATATGCATCACTTTCAAATGAAACGGTTGTAAAGGTAAATAATAAGATAAAATATAAATTCAATGGTAATAAATGATTAATAGTTTATTAATAAAAAAAAAACTAGCTATTATACAACAGAGACTATGAATGGAAAGAATCAAACATTGAGTTAATTGAATTACCAGGTTGTCCACAGCCATGTCGACTAGAAGATTTGCGCACACTCACACAACAAATGATACCTCGTAACTTAACTGAAGAATGTAAAAATTAAAAATATTATATAATAAGAAACACTGCTTAATCTTTAATCGGAATTGTGTGTACTTTTTAATTTAAAATTAAATATTCAGTCTGTCTTAGAGATTGCTTCCAATCTTTCCAATAGTTGAGGATGAGTATGATGCCATGCTGAGAATAGGGAATCATAAACTGGAAATCCTAAGTTATCATTGTGTAAACGTATTAATCCAGATTCAAGTGGCTTTGCAAGTCCAAGCTTTTTAGCGAAACCATCAGCTTGAAACTCCAATTGTCTACTAAGTGTAGTCATAGCAAATGATATAACAGTGTTGTATGGAGAAAACACATATTGAAAAATAATTGCTAGACCAATGATAACTGGATGGGCTGACTCATAAAATCCAAATGCTCGGTATAACATTGAATGGTCATACAACCATCCAAAGACAAATAACATAACAAATAAATTTACCTGAAACAAAAATGCATAGCAATATTAAACAAAAATCTACTTGTATACCATAAAGATAAAAATACCTGAGATATTATAAGATAAAATAAAATATGGTTTAGTTTCCAATGACCAAGTTCATGACCTAAGACTGCCAAAATTTCCTCATCATTCATCCCTTTTCCTTTTTCTTCGATTTTATCACCTTGAGAATTTTCGTCTATTATTGTTTTGTTATTCATAATATCTTTGCTATCTTTCAATAATGTATCATACAACACAATACGTTTGTTATTGAAAAATCCATAAAAATATGCATTGCTATGAGCTGATCGCTTAGAACCTAAAATCAAAAAGGAAGATTATAAATTAAAAACAAATTTACAATAGTAAAAATTAATATTTTTAATACAAGACATTTTGTTTAACAGTTTGTTTAAAACAAACATAGTTAAATTGGTGGTGTATAATTTTTTATTATAATTTAAATAATTTACCTTCTACAATATAAATTTTGTAAAGAGGGAATTTGACTTGTTTTGCAAGCTCTTCAATTTTTGTCTTCAAAACACCATCAGGTAATGGTGTATATTTGTCAAACAATGGAGCAATAAATTCTGGATACACTGTCATGATAAACAATGAAGTTACTACAGCAAATACCCACAGCCAGATAAAGAAATAACGTCCACCCCATTTAACAATAGTTATTGCTGCCGCAGTTATTGGTAATGAAATCACTTGAACCAGTAAAAAGTTCTTAATCTTGTCTTTAACGAAGAAATTTAAATTCTAGTTAAAAATTAAAAACATTAACATTTTTATAAATAAATAAATATGTGGTATTTTAGGTATCTTATTTTGTGAATTACTTGTTTGTTGAATCCATGTTTTTCCTCAATAATAAAAGTGCTATATGCTGAGATTGGCAAAGACATTAGTGTACCCAAGGTATTCATACATAGAAGGAATACGCAACTGGTCATGATTTCACTATCATAATAACGAGTCTCAATCAAACAATATTTGCTGAAATTCCATAACAATGTGAATCCATTCAAACAGATGAAACCCTATACATTATAAGTAACAATTAAATTATTTAGTATGTTAAAATTTGCAATATTTGTAATTATAAAAAAGTTAGTTAATTATATGCATAAATCTATAGATTCTAAGCTCCATAAATAAAAAGAAGCTTTTTCCTCTACAATGAAATTCATTTTTGAATTTGTCAAAAATAAAATTAGTGTACCTAATGTGATATTTTTTTTTTTACTACTCTTTAAACATAACTTGTGGAAGGCTTAATAATTTTCTAAAATACCTAAATGGAGTTTAGTTAACAGGACTTAAAATAATAAAATACAATAATAATACAATAATTTAAACTCAAAAATAGCTGTGTTTTGTTTATTAAAATAATCGATAAGACAGTTGTACTTTAACCATATGTTTGAAAAAAGTGCTTATAAATACTGAAAAATCATAATATCTGTTAACTTTTTGTTTTATATATTATATAGCTCACATATACCATATTGGTTTGTTATTATTATTAATGCCCGGTGGGCAAAGGGTAGGTACAAGCTAAATATTATGGTAATAACCATCATTTAAAAGTTTTAAATTAAAGTATCAATAGGCGTGTTTTGGCGGAGTAAACTGTTTAGTAAATAAGTTTATGGTTATAGAATACGGTTAGAAAACGTTTACTGGAACGCCAAAACAATTGCTTGAACATTTTGTTTACTGAAATATTTGATAACATTGGATATCATACATTTTTTAGTAACCGAATCTCAGTAAACCTTCTTACCAAGTCGAAATCGACGGTTAGAAAATTCACTAAACACGTTCACGAAATTAGTTACCTGGTTACAGTAACCGTAATCGCGAAAACTATATTAGTAAACAGTTTACTAGCGGTTAGCGCCGGTTACACCGCCAAAACACGCCTATTGAATTATTTATATTATTGAAATAAATAGGGTATATCAATATTCATTAAAATTGTTTTATGTTAAGATTTTAAGAAGTTAATTATGAATATAGTCTTATAAAATATTATATTATTTTAAATTAATTAACCATAAATAATGATTTTTTTTATATGATAGACATATTTTGAATAAGTATTAACACTAATAACACTGAGTACCTCCTAATACTGGAAGATAGATTAATTTTTATTAAACCTGTTTTCCATGTTTTGTGTACATCAAAATTTAAAAAAAATTGATAATTTTCCTTATCAAGAAAATTTAAACTATAATTAGTTGAATCATAATTAATTATAATTTTATTTTAGACAAAAAATAATTTATTTATTAATATTTTTACTTACAGTTGAAATTATCATATGAAACCATTCTTCAGCAATACTAAAGCTATTTTTGTCGATACCATACGACTTTGCCTTGTTAAATGTTTCCACATCTAGTACACCAGTTAATCTTTCAGGTATTTTGTCTGTAGTTTTATATACACGTCTCTAAAAATGTTTTACATTAATAAGTAAGGTATTAAGTAAACATTTGTGTGGTTCGTTTTCACATTAAATGGATAATTAAAATTGTACGTAGAATTAATATAATAATAATTATGAATAGACATTTTTTCTAAAATACTGTATTTTTCAAAATGAAATAATTTACCTGTCTTAGCGTTAAGTACTGTTCCCATAGGAATTCTATCCAAGAAAAAGTTAAAACACCATAAAACACGCAAAATTCGGGTATCATGATTACAATTTGCTCGATATTTATATTAAACCAAATCAAAATGTAATAGTATAATATTTATTGAATATTTAAACACATTCGAACTGTAGTAACTCATAAATACATAAACGACATAATACTTATTAATGCCAAGAGGCAAGCAGGACAGAAATAATAGTTATAAATTTGTAAAATACTAAATTACTAAATGCTAAATTGTATTATAGAATATTTATACCTATTATAATTATTAATCCAAACATGAAGATAACAAACACAACAACAAAACACAAGCCGACAAATAAACGGATCATATTGGATATCAGTGTTGACAGAAATTTCTTGTATTTTACACACCAACCTCAACAACACTGTATTTTGTGTAATCAATAATGATAAAGAAACTAAATTTAATATTATGACGAATATGTATTATGTAGAGAAGATCCATAATAAATTCATAATTGATAATCCATAATTTTATTGATCCATAATTGATTATAATAAACCACTTAATAAACTAATAAGTAACAGCATTGAGCATAGGTACCTACCGGATTACACAAGAATTTGGTAGATATAAAATAGGTAGGTACTTACTACTTACTAGGTGCCTATCTACCTATAGACTTATAATAGGTAGGTATATCTATTATCTATTAATTATGGCTTATTAAAACTGAATGGAACCATAGGTGCAATTTGGACAACTGATTTGGGGGGGCTAAATTTATAAAAGCAATACAGAGCCGCATATATTTTGTTAAGATTTAAGAATGAATATATTTTAAAACTTAGGGGGGCTTAAATAAAACTAGCCCCCCAAATTTCGCCTATGAATGGTCAATGGAACAACCAATGATGAGGGACAATTGATTCAGTAATGTTAAGTTTTTTAGGATTTATTAAAACATTAAATATTGGTAGTGCTACTAATTATTACCTACCTATTGGATATTATAAATAATAATAATCGAACTATCGAAGTTATTGTGTAATCAACCCGTTATAAACGTTTAAGTAGTGTAGTTTAATAGTTTATTATAGTAACCTCGTTAATGTACGACTGCACTACAGCAGCTCAAGAACCCACTTGAACTAGAAAACTATTTACAAATTAAGCCTAAGTTTAAATAATAGGCAAAAATATATGAGTTATTATTATTATCGCTAACTAGGTACATAGGTATATAGGTACACTGTACACATAGCCTCAATTTGGGTGGAGGGGGCTACAGTAGCGGATCCAGAAGTCACCCAAGGGGGGGGGCGAATTTTCAAAAATTAAATTGTCTTTTTGTTTAGCCAAATATTATAATAGAAAATAACTTTAAAAAGACAGCCCAAGGGCTGGCAACCCCCCCCCCCCCCCCCGTCGTATCCACAACTGGGGGCTACAGGGTAACATAGGTATGTACAATAGTATCTATAAATATTTAAATATCTTCTTTTAATACTTAATTAAATAGTAATACTCGGGTGTAAACTATAAAAATTTTAAATGTTTATAGATTCCTAGTAAACTATACCTACAACTTACCTATTGGCTATTGCCTATTACCTACATACCTATGTAATATACTAATATTAATAGGTATCCGATTCAAATTAGGTTATTGTATATCCCTGTTCCCTATACAGTCAAGGAGGCTTCCCCCCTGTATTACACTGTGTTTAGCCAATTTTGGAACTTTTTGTACTTTTGCCCCCCTCCCCCCCATGCCACTCCCAAAATGAAGCGCTGGATCAGCAGCTGTATACATTCTGGTGGCCTGTTAAGAATCAACAACGAATCAACTATAAACATTCAACTATACTTGAAAATTGAAATAATAACAATTAACAACTACAGCAACATCAGCAACAAGCATGAAGCAACAAATATATTATTATGTCTATATTATATTATATTCGCGATTGAAAGGAAATATATAGGTAGCGCACTAGTCAATACTGATGATAAGGCTAACGGGGAACATGGTCGCCCGGTGGTTGAACCCGTGCTGTCTTCACTCTACTTACTACTTTCTAGTTTCTACTTAGTTTACTTAGTCTACTTTGTAGTTTCTACTGCAAGCAGTAGTTGATGCTCACGCTAAGTTTATTGTAATAGATGTTGGAGATTATGGTCGTTCTACTAATTCCAAATAAATTAGATTTGCCTGCACCCAAAAAAAATTGATCAAAATATTAATGAAGATTTCCCTTTTGTATTTGTAGGCTATGAGGCTTAAAATTTAAATACCCACTTTTACCTAATTTGATGAGACATTTCCCTCGTAGAAATTGAACATACGAAAAACTTTTATGGTACCTATATACAACAAACTATCGACAATCCCGTGCGAGAAGAATAGTCGAATGTGAATTTGGAATTATGGTAAAAAGGTGTAATAGAAAATACGTATTAGAAAATAAAATGCTAATCAGACCTGAAAAAGCTTACTTCATAATTTAATTGAGACTAGAGAAGCTAACTTCCTTTGTACAACTCTTAATAAAACAGTTTTAAAAATAAAAAAATACGGTGTATAGAAAATGACAATGGTGGGCAAGTTAATGAAAATAATTAACTGTGGAAAGTTAAGTTAATTCAATTAAATTGCCTTCAGTTAAGTTAAAAGTTAACAAAAAATAAAATTTAACTAGTTAAGTTAAAAGTTAAGATGGAAAATAAAATTAACTTAACTCAGTTAAAAAAAAGTTAATTTTTTTTTTAAGTCATAATATTAATAGGTATAGGCTGTTTTTAAATATTTGTCATTTAGTACCATTATAATAGTCTATTATTAAAATAAAATCAATGAATAATGATAATAGTATAATACCTACCAAAAATTGTTTCCATATTTATTTCGATAATGTTATTTTCTAATCTCATACGTTTATTTGTATTTATAACGAATACGGCAATATAAATTATAATTTATAAATATCTCGGACGACTTTTTGTTTTGTCTATTGGAATTGTCGTATTTACCAGTAACCAGTATATATTATTGATATAATTATATCCATTTAAAGACTATGATATTTAGTTTTAAACCTGTTTTTAGGAATTGGGGAGTTAGATAAAACAAAAATCGGATTATTCAATACCATTAAATAATATTAAATCATTAAATAATAGAATTCGTGAAAATAGCCAGTCGATACAAGGATAGTATACTAATTATTACTCTTTAGTCTTTATTATAGTACCTATAGATTATAATATAATTTGATTATTATGAATTGATGATATTATATTATTAGAAAAATAAATTACCAAAATGGCAAAATAGAAAGAATAAGTTTTGTCTCTTGGTTCCACATGATAAAAATTTAATTTAATTAACTTAACTGTACAATAATGATAATTAACTTTAGAAAGTTAAGTTTAAACAATACAAAATTTAACTGAATAAGTTAATAAGTTAAAAACAAAAAAAACTAACTAGTTAAGTTAAAAAGTTAAAAAAAAATTAACTTTTTAACTTAACTTTAACTTTTTAACAAGTTAATGCCCACCATTGGAAAATGAAAATATAAACATTCAGTTAAATTTTCATGTGTACACAGTTATTCGTTTTTTAGATTCTGAGTGAAACGATGAATGTATTGATTTTACAATGACGTGTGTTTTTATTTTTATTTTTGTGTCTGTCATCACGTTTTAGGACAGTAAAAGTGCTTGGATTTTCTTCAACAATATCTTTTCTGATAGGAAAGTGAATCTAGTTGGTACTTTGGGGGGTCAAAAGTAAAACTTTAACAGTAGTTTTCACATGCGCCGGAAAAAACAACATACAAATTAAGGGAAAACGGGAATTTTTACGCAAAATCGGTTTTCCAAAAAATCGATTTTGGTTTTTGGTGTAACTCTAAAACAAATGAACGTATATACATGCAATTTTCACAGGTTGTTTATATTTGCATTTTCTATACACTATAACATTTTAAAAATATTTTGATTTATTTTGAACTGTTTAGGGACATTTTCATTTTCCATTTGTTTTTAGTTTTTTTCCTAAAAATATCAATAAAATTTTATTTGTTGGTTGCGAAAGCTTGAAAATTTAATAGACATAGTATAGACTCCTAGTATATTGTTTCAAAGGCAGATGAAAAATATTAAAAATCCTTCGTCACAATTTTTTTTTATAAGCATTTAAAGTTCAAAAATTGACAAAATATGGAAAAATCACGAAAATTAACAAATTATTTTGAAAAAGAATTCGTATAAATTTTTTTTTTAAATCTAAGAATTTAAAATGTAATACAAGATTCCTTAAAAGATTATCTATCTTTATCAAAAAAAAAAATGTCTATAAGAAAGTCGAATTAAATTTTTATGAGCGTTTGAAATTAAAATTTTTACAACATTGGATATTCACTCGATTTCTCATGTAGCGATTTCCTTATTTTGTTGTAATTCAAAAACGAATAACTGTAGATACATGAAAATTTCACTGAATGTTTATATTAACATTTCCTATACACTGTACAATTTTGAAAATATTTTGACTCTTTTTGAGATGTTTACGGACATTTTCAGTTTTAAATTTTTTTTAGTTTTTTTTTATATAAATATCAATAAAGTTATCTCTTGGGCCAAAAAGTATAAAAATTTAATACAAGACTCCTGATATATTGTTACAATATCAGTTCAAAAACATTGAAAATACATAGGCACAATTTTTTTTTATATGCATTTAAAGTTGGAATTTTGACAAAATGTATCAAAATCTCGAAAATTATCAATCAATGTAATTAATAAATTATAAAATGTTCAGTTTTTATATCTAAGGATTGCAATTTTAAAACAAAGGTTCTCATAAATAGTTCATACTGTAAGTGTCTGTAACCAAAAAATTTAAAAAATATATTAACACAGTTATTTTTTACAGACATTTTAAATTCAAATTTGGACGAAATTACATATTAAAAAACCTAGAATAACTATTTTAGTTATTTTGTTGTGATTGAATAATATTATTCGTGGGTACTGGGTACTTGAAACTTCTAAAGTGTACTATTATATATCTATGATAGTATCAGGGTTTGTTGTTGATGTATAATGCGTTATAAGTACCTAATGGATATTGTGATATGATTAATTTGGAATTTATTATAGGTACCTATAATTATAAGTTAATTTTTTGTTTAATACCATAGATATGTATATAATATGTCTTATACCTAGACTGACATACCAATATACCATCTCCGCTCAGAATTGTTTTTCTTATAGTTTATACAATGATATGATTATATCATTGAATTCAAATTTAATACTATCTATTATACAGTGACAGACTTCAGACTTGTAACCTACTGTACAGCAGAGCGACACCCACTTGCCCACCAAATAATTGTTTATAAATGGTTTAATGGGTTTTAAAACTATTATAATTTATAATAATAATTATTGGTTGCCGTGAAGGCGTGAAATCAGTGTATTCATTCAATGCATTTAATTTTTTTGTACTCTGTTCTGTTTTATGTATCATAATTACGTAAATATTGAGCGTATTATACTCGCATATAAGTTACGTACATGGTACATAAAACAATCACGATGCCACGTATTCGTGGACGAGGAGGAAATATTGGTCGACAGATTCGGCATTCATAATTAGTCCAACCGTTTAGGAGGAGTTCGGTAACATACTTGGTATAACTTTGATACTTTAGAGTTAAATTATAAAGTTACGTACAAACATCACGGGGTCCTCGATCTACCGCAGGTAGATTGCCTATCTGATAATATAGGTAGGTACTGGCGAGAATCAACATTTTTATTCCGGGCAACGGAAACGGGAAAAGTTAAGATACATTTTGAACACCACACACTGAATATTTAATAACGAATTGAACAAAGTTTGAGTCATATAGAGTTGATACATTTAACGGGTAACGCGAAGTGCACGGGATCAGCTAGTATATAATAATATATAGATTATAGATGAATTAATTAATTTTAAAATAACTTCATCAGCAGCAGCTGCCGCAGCATAGACCTATTAACTAGTAATAACTACTTAGTTCAGTGGCGTATATAGAAATAATTTTTGGGGTGGGCTTTAGTTGATAGAAACTAGCAAGTTATTTATTACTTAGAGGCTACTATATACTATATACCTATATAATTTAACAGTTTCTATAAATATATTCGTATTTGTTATTAAAGACTGTAATTTCGGGGGGGGGGGCTGCAGCCCACCAGGCCAACCCCCTATATACGCCACTGACCTAGCACGGTCTTAGAATATAGGTAGGTCGACATGCCGCAGGCTATTATGTGGATATACCGTAGCACGGTGTACGGTAGTAAATTATCGTAGCATTTGGCCAGCCTGTGCGGCCGATGACGTCGGCCGTGTGTTAAAACCCGCTGCCTCCCTATATCGGCCGACAGTATAAAAGGAGTCGCAGCACATGGTGAAACTTGGGTTCTTTCGAACGAGAAACCCCACACGTCCGGCCGTCCTGTACTTCTGCTGCAGCTGTCGCGGTCGTGTTGCTTCGTCCGTTGGTTTTTCAACGTGAAAATAAAATATCACTTCTTCCCCGTGCTCGCCGCCGCAATCCGTACATAACACAGCAAAACAATTAATTAAAATCGCAGACTTACGGACGTTGCTGTTTCCGTTGGCCCTTCAAACATGTCGTTATCCCAATCGTCTGTGGTAAGTATTAAGTAATACTTCTTACTCGATACGTGTGGGTACGTCGCTACATGCTCGCAATAATTTACAATAATATTATAATATAGTGTCGTCAAGTGAGCAGACACTTGGCCATGGCCTGAACCGTATTTTTTGTAAAAGGTAAAACGGTGTGTTGCCACATATGCACTGTGTCACACTCGAATATTTCGGTCACATAATAATTAATTAATATGATAATAACGGATTGAGTGTTTATTATATTAATTAGTTTTGGTGTTGGGCGGTCGTAGGTAATAGAGTAAAAAGAGTTTCATTCTTCACGGCAGCAAAGCACTGACTATTACTTCCATATGGTGATGATTTGGTCATTATACTAGGCAAATTTGTGACTCATATCTAAAGGTTAATTTTGTAGGTCATTAAATTGAATTATTTATACATTAGTACCTAGTAATTTTTCTATGATGCACCCTTTAAGTAGGTACCTACATTTTTTAATGATCATTGTTATTAGGTATTATTTTATTCTGTGATTGTGAGGACTACCACTATACTATGGTGTCTATAAATTATAATATGAGCAATGAGCCATTATAAAATGTTCAGGATTTATTTTAATTTCAATTTCCCTAGTCTTTATTTTTGAATATCATGTAATTATTATTATTATGTACCTATATCTCATTAAAATGTTAATATTATAATTTATAAGTAAAGCCATAAATGCATTCAAATTAAAAAATCTAAACATTTATATTCAAAAATAATGAAAACAATAAAAAATGTATTGAATGTACTTGGATTTTTTTAAATATATAGTCCAAATTTTACTCAAGTTCAAGTACCTGTAATCAGAGATATAATAATTGATTACCCAATTATATTTCTTAAATAATAATTTGTGATATACCTAGGTAAATTGTCATTACATGAATAATTTAACACAAAATAACGGCATAATTATTATTGCAATACTTTATCGTCCTTTTATATTAATTATGTAGGTATATACTTTTATTTTAATTTTTACTTTGTAGAAAAAGTGAAATACATAATTTTATAACAAGATTCTAATTTGTAAAAATAAAACCAAGGCTGGGAAAGTTAATGATTTTTTTTGACATGAAAACAAAATAGATTGAAATAGTGGAATATAATAAAATTAAAAAAAACAAAATAAATTAACTTAACTTATTTCTTAAAATGAAAAATTAATTCGTTAATTTCACGTTAATTAAAAAAGGAATTTAGTAAGTTAATATTTAAATTAATGAAAAGCCAAAAGTAACTAGTTAAGTTAAAAAGTTAAAATTAAATTAACTTTTTAACTTTTAATGCCTAGCTTTGTATAAAACACATTTTGAAGTACTAAAATGGATACAATTGTTTGAAATATTATATTTTCTCAGATTCTATTAGCATATTAATATCTACCTACAATTTTTCTAGTTCACCAAACATTTACAATTCTAATAAGGTTATTAATTTTGATTTATACGTTTATCTGTTAAGCTTATTATTTATTTGGCTCATTTTTTATTACCTAACTCAATTAATTTTGATTTATTATCAACAAAGCAGCACAGATTATATAAAACTTTTATAACATTTGATATAATTTTATGTAATCTGTGATGACAGTTTGAGATAACAAAATTAAAGTTTTTTGCGCAATTATTAATAAGTTTATTGTACCTTATTCATTATTATGAAATAAATTAATATTACCTACCTCTTTTAAATTGAAAGTTAATTTTATGTCTATAAAAGTTGTTCTTTTTAAAATAGATGTATGGAGTATGTTTTAAAATTGGAAAAAATCACATTTTTAAGGAATTAATATTACATTTTATGACATTATCTATGAACAAAATGCATTTTTCTGCTAGCATCAATTGTCTTGGTCAATTGTATTGTTAGGTAAATTATTCAATATAAACATTAAATCATGATAAGACTGGACTGGTTATGTTTTTAATAAATTGTATGTTTTCTTGTGTAACCATAATATATAAAACCTCTGTTATCTGTCTGCATATCTAATGTCTAGTATTCTAGTCCTACCTATTGTGAGAATTATTATTACCTGTCTTAAAGTCATACCTTAGGTATATGTTGTTAAGTATTTTGTCTACCTTTTTTTATGTCAAGGCAGTTTTTTTATTGGTTAGAATGGGATTAGCCTCTTATGATACATTTTTCATAGCTTAAGTTTTGTTTTTTTCCTACATTAAAATTAAATTCATACCTAAAATGTGACAAGTTGAATACTGAAAATTGAATAATGTTTTTGTATTATGATATAGGTACACAAGTACCTAACTAATGTTGCAAACTATTATTTTTATACACACAGGGATACCACTTTATTTTACTTTGCCTGAAAATATGTTTTTTTTTATTATTCTTAATTAACATTGGTGACATTGGCTATTAGTTACAATTTTGTGTCTATTTTAACCACAGCATATTACCATATCCATAGGTAGATGTTTTAATTTTCAAAAATTAATAGTTTGTATATTCAATTAAACAAATAATCATTATTTATTTTAGATGAAATTATACCAATCTGTAATTGAAGATACAATAAATAGCTCTCGAGAATTTTTTGCGGAAGAAGGTATTGACGATCAAATTTTATTGGAATTGCGTCAATCATGGGAATCTAAAGTAATGGCCAGTAAAGCAGTTGATGCACCACCTCCTCAAGAAGTGGCCCAACTTCCTAAAACTGTTACCTCAACTGTTGTTAAACCAACTAAAAGTCAATATGCTCCTACTATAGTCAGTAAGTATTTTTCTTAAATCATTAATAAATTTTCTTTCTAAATGTTTTTAGATTTAGGTGTTATAGTTGTTTATATCATCAATTATTATTTTTAGATAACTCTGTTCAGCAATTAAAAATGGTCCAACAACAAAAAATACAACAGCAGCAGCAGCAACAGCAGCAACATCAGCAGCAACATCAGCAACCACTTCAGCCACAGCAGCAGCAACAACTACCACAGCAGCAACAACTACCACAGCAGCAGCAACAGAAGCAGCAGCAGCAGTTGCAGCTGCAGAAGCAGCCACAGCAACAACAGCCACAACAACTACAACAACAGCAACAGAACACTCTGGTTTTACCTGCAGATTATGCAAACAAATATGTACCTATTCAAATAACCTTACCAGCTCAGACAGGTTCCCAAGAAACGGGTTCTAGAATTCTTTCAATTCAAGTTCCAAGTTCTGCCATACAAGGTTGGTTGTATATTTATGTTAAAATATTCTTTCTAATAATTTAAATGCTGTTACTTATCATTGTTTTAAATGTTTGTAGGAAATATGCTACAGAGTATACTTAGTGGTCCAGTAATAACTAATAGTATGGCAATGGCTACTCCGTTAGCTACATCTTTTTTACAACAGCATGTCAATAATGTTCTTGCTGCTCAATCAATTTCAAGTAAACTATTAATTTAGAATTTTTTTTTTTTTTTGTCATAATCTTATATGTATTTTTATAATTATTAGGTGTTCAGACTGTTGTTCAACCAGAATTTTTATCAGATGTACGAACTACACAGCAACAGCAGCAGCAGCAGCAGCAGCAGCAACTTCAACAAAACAATCAATCCTTTATTAGTGGGAATGTAACTGGTGGTGTTAAAAGAACTATTGCTCAGATAGACGGAGCTAATGATTCTTCAACTTCAGATGATGACGATGATGATGACGATGATATAGATGATGATATTGGTGATAACGATGATGATGATGATGAAGATGATGACAAAGATCAGAATAGTGCTTCTGATGCTGTAAGCATGAATAGTATAAATAAATAAATAAATTTATTAATTAAATAGCTGAAATCTATTGAAGTTTAATAAATTATACATTTTATTTTTAACAAATTATGAATAAAAGGCTTTTGAAACTATTTTATGGAAATTAACTATGTTTAATTATGTATTGGTTATTTATGTGTTTGGGTCAAATCATTGAAGGAAATTTATATTATCATTTATTTATACTATTATTATTCAATGAATTCAAAAGTTAAAAACTACAACTGTAATAATAATTGTAAGACATTAATTTTGAAATCATCATCATTCATAATTTTAAATTTAATATAAATTAAAATAAGATAAATGTTTGATTTAGTACATTGATCATGTACTTAATGTGATAGTTATGCACTAATACTATGTATAGTGTTAGTATATTGGTAAAGCTATTTTTTACGTGGCATACTATATTGATCTTGCGTACAATCAATAATGCATTGTACTTTAAATACAAAAGCAGTTTTAAATAATTGTTTCTTTTAGTAAAATATATTAAAATATTACTCTAATATATGTTGATGGTCTTATATTTTAAATGTACAAGTATATTTTGTTTTGTAGGAGCCATTAAATTCTGGTGATGATGTAAGTGACATTGACAATGGTGAATTATTTGAAACTGAAAATGTTATTGTTTGCCAATATGATAAGGTAAATGTTATGATAAATGTATTAAAGGGATCGGTGGCTACAGTTATTAAAGCCAAAACATACTAATCTTTTGACTATCATACTGATTGACTTAGTAATGCGATAATACTATTTAAAACTGTTTTTAATTTGTTATTATGTCTACTTGAAATTAGTCAGACCCCCCCCCACCCCCAATAACTCTAAATTTCGTTTGAATATTTTGAAATGTCCTAGTTTTCAAATGTTGATTATTTGGATATTAGATTAGACATTTTAAAATTTGGTCTGGCCAATCTCAAGTAGACATTATAACAAATTCAACTGATATGTTATCCCATTATTAGGTTTGTCAGTAGGATGTACAAAAAGTACATACAAATGAGCATAAATTGTTTACCGTTAACGCGCTCAACACTGAGGCCGTGACTTATACATGCGTGTGTGGGAGTATTCCACCATTTGTTTTTTACAAAGTCGCACACACTAACGGTCACTTACTATGCAAACATTTACAAGAATCACATGCCTGAAATTTGAAAATTGCCTATTGAACTTCATAATAACTGACTGCCACCAATCTCTTTATAGTTAAAAATAATATACAATCAAGAATAATTTTCCCCAAATTAAATGTGATTTTGTTTGTATTTATTGTTTAAACTATAATTTTTCATCCAGAAATTTACTTATAATTAAGTGAGCATAATATGTTTTTATTTGTTATTGTAGATTACTCGTAGCAGGAATAAATGGAAACTTTATTTTAAAGACGGTATAATGAGTTTAAATGGGTATGACTATGTCTTCCAAAAAGCAACTGGTGATGCTGAGTGGTAACAGGTGATTTATTTTGTGTTATAGTTACAAAGGATATTAAGTATTCTGTATGAATTGATTTTATGTATTAAATGAATTGTTCTCAAGTCTTCTTTAATGTATAAAAAGACTAGATTTTTAAGTAAATTCCCAAATAATTAAATGTTGACCTATGTACATACAATTTGTCATATTCATTTTTGAACATGTGGAGGTATTATATATTTACAATCAATAAAGCTCCCTATCAATTTAGTTTGGATATCAGTATGTAATATATTTATATTTTAAATTATTTAGTCATTTATTGGTAATGTCACTAATATGTATATATTTTTTGTTTAAAATATGGACAAATAGCCCAATAGTAAACAATTACAATAATATTATTTATCTAATCCTTAATTAACATTAAGAAAGAAAGTAATAAGAATTAAGAATGAATAGCATTAAGAACATCAGAAAGACGGTTTTTCATAAATAATCGGCTCTACCCTTACTATATTGATCAGCCGCATATTTAGTGGTGAATGCAACTGGTACTGTGAAAGAATACTTCTTATGTGAAGAAAAAGAACTTTAAAATTAATCAGTTAAAGAGTATAATGTATTAATGGTGTTGCAGTATGGGATATAGTGGCAGTGTTGTCAAGCATAGTGCTGGCTCTAATTCTGTACCGGCTCGTTCCTAGTGATAAATGCAACATTAAACCACTTAACTTGCTCTATTCTCTTTGTATAATTTCCAGTGCAATTAACTGTTGTGAAATCAACCTGATTGTTATATAAAAATGAAAAATATACATAATAAGTATTAATAACGTTAATGCAACTATTTTTTCTAAAAAAGATATATTTTTAATTGATAATATTTATTATTGAAATTTGTTTTACTAATATAATTCATTATAAAAGACTGCTATAAGAATATAATTTATTATACACAAAATATTGTTAGATTGAATTTGTTATAATTGTAAAATTTTATATTTATTTTCAAAAAACCGTGAGAAGTACCTAATTTAATTTTAAATAAAAACAAAATACATTAAAAAATATTTATGTATTAAATAATGTATCACGTTATAATTTCATACTTGTTTGATGAATGTATTGATGTGTTATTTGTGTCCCACCACCTTTTCGTATAGTAAAAATTCTTTGGTTTTTTACATAGTCATCTTTTCAAGTATGAAAGTAAAACTAGTTGGTAATTTTTTATTTTGTGGGGGAGAGCGGGTAGGGTAAGAAGTTAAAAAATACCTAGTATCCAAAAGCGTCGAGAAAAACCAAATTAAGGAAAACCTGTAAATTTTACACAAAGCCAGTTTTCGACTAAATTAATTTAGTTTTATTGGTGTAACTCAAAATCGAGTAACCATAGATACTTTAAATTTCCAGTAAATGTGTTTATACGACAATTCTCTTACATGATAAAATTTAAAAATATTTTACCTCAACTATTTATGGATATAAGAGATTTTAAATTTGTTTTATAAATGATATAAAAAAATTATTTTGTTGGGTTAAAAAGCTTAAACATTTAACACAAGGTTCCTCATAGTTTTATAACATTTGAAAATTAATAAATATATGCACATTTTTTTTCTTTTAAACATCTAAAGTTCAAGTTTTCACAACATTTATTAAAATCTCGAACATTTGCAAGTTATTTTGTAATTAAAAATGTATAAAATGTTTGAATTTATTGAAAATTAAAAAACAAGGTTTTTTAAAAGTAGTTCATTTTTGTAACTAAAAAATATATAAACGCAGTTTTTTCATAGATACCTAAATTAGATATTTAAACAAAGGACAAACATTTTAGTAATTTTGTTGTAATTTAAAAATATTCGGTTGTACTTGAAACTTTTAAGGTATATATTATTTTATTGTATATCACAATTAATAATTACAATTTTAAAATGCAATTTATTTGGCAAAAATTTATTAAACCTACTGTATTACGATAAATGTTTAATAGTAAAATATATTACATTAATAACAATAATATCATAAAAATAAAATGCACCTACTTAGTAGTTAGTATTAAGTAATATAAGCTCTACTTTTGGTAATTTTGTAAAGTCACCCCTCAAAATGTTTCCGCCAATATATATAACAGAGTATTTGGGCATATTATGCATAAATAGTAAATACGCATCTTCACATTTTTTGGTAAATTAACTCCGCCATTAACTGGTAATTAAGTAAAAGTTAAATACCAATTTCGGTATTCAATTTTTTTTTTCAATTTCACAATTAATATTTTAATGGATATTGTATTACTTTAATTGTAATATTATATATTTTTAACTTGTAAGTGATAACTGATAACTAACTTTACTAGTCAATTTTTTATCATCTATTTTTACATTTTTTTTTAGAAAACTTCTGGGCTCTTCTCGAGATTTTTTATTTTTCTTATATATGTACTAAATAGTCTGTGATCCACTGTATTTCATATAAATTCAAGTGTTTATTAATTGTAATTAATACAAAGACTTTTCAGTGTATTGCGTCAGAAATTCAAGTTGCAAACTTTGTTGGAATCAATGCCGTACTAACTTTCATTGGCGCCCCAGGGCAATAATATTTGGTACTCCTATTAAACATACTTATTTAACATTTGCCGCCCTTTAAAATGTTACAACTTTTGACATTGTAGGGCACTGCTCTGGTTGGGATTATAAGTTGTATAGTGGTATATATCTGGATTCCTTATTTAAGTAAGTACCTACATAACATCACAGAATACAATAATATAAGAGTACCTACATATTATGAGGAGAACAGTATTCAAATATCTGCTAGGTAAGTCTATAAGTGTATAAACTACCATAATGCATAAACTACACTACGACAGTGTAAAAGTTGGTATTATAAAAATAAAGCACATTTTCTAGTACATTTTTAGTGTATATTAATTTACAGTGTTTACAGCATATTTTAATATTTATTAGTGTTATAGGTACTATAACTGGTCTTTAGGTACTCTTAGTTTTCTTTTTCAATTACAAATACGTGCAAAATATACAATTACAGACTACAGTTAAATCGTAAAATATGCAGCAATAAATTATAGCTCTAATATAATATTATCATACACTCATGCTCTTTAGATATTATGTAGCTATCTTGAAATTAGTTCATCGTTTTACTACTAGAGCGTGATACATAATACAAAATTAAAACCTATATTTTAATTTACTATACTCTGTCCCACGAGAGATCATGCCGCGCACCGACCAAAACTGGTTCCCCTACGCCACACCCTGTCATAGGGTAACCAGTTTCGACAGTAGGGAGACGCAGGGAGATGCGCAGAACCGGCATGATCTCTCGTGGGACAGAGTATAGATAGGTATATATTATTGTATAACAACAGAAATCTGAGAAGTCTACTTAATAGTTAATTTGTACCAATATTTATAACCGGCAGGAGGCGGCTTCTTTGTCTGTGTGCATGAAAACATATTTTTAGATTTAATTAAATGTTATAAACAATATAAAGCAAGCAATCTAAATTCTAAACATTTATTTATTCAATTGTCAGACCATTGGACAAAGAAATAGACCCCTTAATTCACGCAGTAAAATGTACAAAATCAATTAACGTCTGTATTTATTTATTATTATTTATTTTATAGTATTTGACACTCTTGCATTGCACTATTAAAATTGTACTATTCTTTCCACAATCTATGGTTAGAAAACCTCTCAGTAGACAGTAGCTTTTTTTATTTAAGTAGGTGGGTACCTACCTATTTTTGGTTTTTGTAACCTAGGTGCATTTTAAATGAATATAAAGGCTAATATCAGCTCTTTCACGCATATTTTATTAATCAATGCCTACTGCCTAGAGTATCCTTATCTGGAAAACCCAGAGTTGGTACTTAACGCGTTTTTCTTTCTTTTATTTAATAATTTTATCTCAGATTAACCTACGTTTAAAAATACGTTTATAAGTTATAACCATAGATAGGTTAGCCGTTAGGTAAATACTTATACTAGCTGATCCCGTGCACTTCGTCGCCCGTTAAATGTATCAACTCAATATGACTCAAACTTTGTTCAATTCGTTATTCAATATTCGGTGTATGGTGTTCAAAATGTATCTTATCTTTTCCTTTGCCCGGAATAAAAATTCTGAATCGGAGCAGTACATTATCTGGTAAGCAATCTACCTGCGGTAGATCGCGGACTCGTGCTGTTGCCTGTTTGTACGGAAGTGTATGATTTAACTCTAAAGTATCAAAGTTATATCAAGTTTATTTTGATATAATACGGTGGATTAATATAACAAATTTGGTGGCTCGTAAAAAATCTTAAAAAACTCGTAAAACTCTTAAAAAAATTATGATTGTTGAACTCCTTTTGGGTGTAACTTGCTGCGGTAAGTGCAACTCAGCCACCCTGGTACTTGGTAGGCAATGTTCAATAATTCGATTTGATGCAAGCTTGTACCTGATCTGCAGCCCGAATAACCAATGACAACCAATAAATAAATGCTAATTTCTGCTGTAGACTGTAACCAATGGCAACTATTAATAAATAAAAATAAAATTTCCAATTTCCATCGTGAATCTCAATGTCCCTGTTTGAGCACCTATTTAAAATGCGAATTTTGGCAAATCCTTTCTTATTGCACGGTGAAAATATGAGAAGAACCTCTATTCCAAATTTCAAGTCCGTACGTTGAGTAGTTTTTGAGATACAGCGATCAGTGAGTCAGTGGTATTTGGATTTTATATGTATAGATAACTAATTATTGACCAATATTATCGGACTTTATTTAGATATGCCTAAAACCTGCTCCGTGATATCCTCTTTCATTTAAAAAAAAACTGCATGACAATTGGATCAGAAGTTTCGAAGCCAAACCGTAACAAAGATTTCCTCTTTTGCTTGATTTCAGTTTTATATATATAGATTATATCATAGCTTATATTAGACATAAGTAATTTTTATGTTGCCCCTTGTTGGTGAGCTTTTATCCTGTGGGCGCGCTTGCTTTACTA